GTTTTGAGCAATAGCTATATGTGAAATAAAACAAGCAATCAATGTATATCACAGGATAAAGGCTGATAAATGCAGGTGTATGTATGAATAATCACTTTATACGTACAAATTGCTTGACAAATGCATGCTTAACATAATAATTGCTTAGTATGTAAGAAATGGCTGACAAATGTATAAGAAACATATTTATAATGGCTTTGTATATAAGAAATAGCTAACAAATATATGTGAAACATATTAACAAAAGCTTTATATGTTGGCAACCACTAATAAATATATATATGTTATGGCTGATAGTGTGAATTTATTATAGACAAGACAATTTTATTGGCAATAGAATATTTCACTTGATATTCAGTTGTAATTTTCATCAGAAACAGATTGGAAAACCAACACTGGTTATAACTATGGAAAAGATTTTCTGAAACACTTGAACAGAACAGACCACGTCACAGTTTTTCGCTTACGCACTGGACACTGCAGACTCAATAAACACTCACATAAATTAGGTATGAGCCAAACAGCTCTCTGCCAGTGCCTTCGTGCTGAACAGACTCCAGAACATGTCCTGCAAGACTGTCCTCTCCTGGCCGAGCTGCGGAGCGACATATGGCAACACCCAGTAGAACTGACAACTAAGCTTTGGGAAAACCTAAGAGACCTTGAAAAGACATCCCAGTTTATGACCCACAGTGGATTGTGCGCATGACCAGAGATCGCTGAAGAAGTTGTCATTTTCGCGTGTGGGTTCTGGAGACCCACTGCCCCCCCCCTCCCGACAACAAGCATGTCCTACAAGGTGACTAATTAGAAGTTTGCTGAAATTGAATTTGTTGGGCCAAAAGACGCAGATATAGCAGCATAGATGTAAACAATAGAACAACATGGCTGCCGCCCTTTAAAGGGCAGACACAAAAGAAGAAGTGATTTGACAGGTAAAATACAGATAAAGCTTTTATTCTTCTTAATTAGCCTAATCTCTCTGTGTGGGTTCTAGGGGCCATATTTGGTGGGGTGGGGGAGAATAGATCCATTCCCTCCATAACATGGATATCACAAAGGGTGACTCCCCGTATGGGTTCTGGGGGTCCCATTGTGGGGAAAACAAGAATAGACCCACGGCCTACCAAAAAGCATGTCGTAAGAGTCGACTAATTGGGAGCCTCCTTTGAAGCTGGAGTGCATCTGCCTGAGAAAAAAGCAACCAACAGTCTGCATTCAAGTGAATCAGATCTGTACAACTGATGCACACGCAACATTTAGGTTCTGGAGCAGGACTGGAGTCCAGGAGTGGACAAAAAACCAGATCTTTCCACCAGAGTGTACAGCTGGTAAACATGAAGAAGAAGAAGAAGACAAAGGGCAACTAATTAAGGATTTCCCCCTCTCAAATTGGAATGCATCAGCCTGAGTGGCAAGGAACAAATGTCTTCATACAAATAAGCAAAATTTCTGGTTGTTCATCAACTTTTGGACTAGTCTTGTTCCAAAACTTGAATTTTGCATGCACATCCATTTTACATTTCCGGCTTATTTGTACGCAGACTGTTGGTTCCTCACCTCTCAGGCAGATGCACTCCGACTTTGAAGCAAAGACTGCTAAGTAGTCATCTTTTATGACATACTTGTTAGCGGGGCAGTGGGTCTATTCCCCAGTCCTCCAAAACAGGACCCTGTTACCCACCTGGGGAATTCTGTGTGTATAAGATAATAAAATGTTAATGAATGTGTCAGACAGATTAGGAAATAGATCTTCACAATTTAAGATATTTGCAACGGGAAGACTTATTCTCTTGCATTGACTCATTTAGTATGAAACAACATGGTAGGCATGAATTTGTTACTCCTCAGTTACATACGTTCCCCCGTGTGGGTTCCGGGGCCCCATTGTGGGGAAAACAAGAATAGACCCACTGCCTTCCCAAAAGCATGTCGTAGGAGTCGACTAACTGGGGAGCTTCCTTTGAAGTCGGAGTGCATCTGCTGGAGAGGCAAGGAACCAACAGTCTGTATTCAAGAGAATGAGATCTGTAAAACTGATGCACACGCAACACTCAGGTTCTGGAGCAGGGCTGCAGTTCAGTAGTGGACGAGCAACCAGAACTTTCCGCCAGAGTTTACAGCTGGTGAACGCGAAGAAGAAGTAAGTTACATACTTTTCCTTATTACCCAGTACATAAATTCATTTTTAACCTCAACTCATTTTCTTCTATAGTGTTATTACTTGAATTCTTCCAGACTCAGACATGTTATAGTATTAGGTAACAATGCTTAGGTTAGGTACTGAAAAAGTTAAACTTTTACCATTATGTTAGTTTAATTTCCTACAATGTATATAATCCTTGTTTTAAAATGACTTCCACTACCTCACCCTGACGGTACGTGGAAGACTATAACAATAGCGGTTTCATGCTCTATCTTATATTTTTATAATCGTAGCCGCTGTGCATAGATTTTCATCATCCGGAGTTTGTTAGAAATATGATCAAAGTTAATGATGTGTGTAATCCTGATCAACTCATCAATGGTTGCAGCTGGTCCTTGGTGCTCCTTCCACATGCGGAGACTAGCTATAATCCGATCTGGCATCATGTCACGGCTAGGATACTTCTGTTCCAGTTCGGTGATCAGTGCATCAGGCAACTTGAGTTTTCTCAGCAGTTGTCTTAGCTCCACCTTGTTGAGGTCATCTTTCATAACCTGGAACATGCGCTCCATCAGGAGCTCTGAGGATGGCAACAATCAGTTGTACATTCATTGAAAACATTTGAACTTTTAATAAAGTATATCCTCAATACACAGAACGGCAGGGCACATCAGCATAATACAAGCATAATACTTGTTGCAGCCATTACTGGTGCCCTAATTATAACCTTGGCGCATTTCTATTAATACAGGAGCTGTGGCCCATGAAGCTGCTAGAACTGCAGCAGCAATTCAGAAAAGAAAAAAAAAACAAGCCAGGAAAGACACTGAAGCAAATCACCAGAGAGATGCGGCCTCAATTCCCTGTCCACGTTGCTCAAGAACTATCAGTGCTAGAATTGGCCTTTTCAGCCACCTGCACACTCACAAAACCTAATCCAGTCACCAATGGACGAAAGGACTGGTCTTCTTCCCCTATGGTGGACGAACAATAACAATTATAACTTCATTGGAAATTGAATAGGGTATCTGAGATTTGCCCTGTTGGCTTGCCATCCAGGTTGCAATGCTTGAAGTAGCAGGGTTTGTCAAATGTTCTTGGGCAACAGTCAGACAGAACTTTCAATACGCCTTACCTAATAATGAAGAAGATACCAGGTTTGTTTCTAGTATAAAGCTGAACAATTTTACAGGTACAGTTTGAAATCTTCCTTTTAGTGTTCACTGGCTGTAAAATCTGGCAGAAAGTTGAGGCTGTTTGTCCAATTCTGGACTTTGGTCTTGTTCAAAAACTTGAGTTTTGTGTGCAAATCCATTTTACAGTCTAGCTTAAATGTGTGCAGATTGCTAGTTCCTTGTCTTCATTGCAGATGCACTCCATCCACAAAGGAAACACCCCTGTTTAGTCACTTTTACGATATGCTTGTTAGAGGGCAGTAGGTCTATTCTTTTCTCCGCCCCCTCCCTCCACCCTCTTGTCACTGCAAGAGGTGGAAGGACAAAGAAACTATAAAGCTTAAGTAATAGATGACATAACAGTTTGTCATGGCAAGAGCTGGAAGGACAAAGAGACAATAAAACTAAAGTAATAGATGACATAACAGTCTGTCATGGCAAGAGCTGGAAGGACAAAGAGACAATAAAACTAAAACAATAGATGACATAACAGTTTGTCATGGCAAGAGCTGGAAGGACAAAGAGACAATAAAACTAAAGTAACAGATGACATAATAGTTTGTCATAGCAAGAGGTGGAAGGACAAAGAGACAATAAAGCTTAAGTGATAGATGACATAATAGTTTGTCATGGCAAGAACAGGAAGGACAAAGAGACAATAAAGCAGAAGTTATAGAGGACCTAACAGCTTATAATTGCAAGAGATTGGCGGGCAATAAAATCATGACAAAATAACAGACAAACTGAGTGTGTTACTACAAGAGTTGGCAGGATGAAGAAAACTAAATAGCACTAAAAGATAAAACTAACAGTGTCACCACAAGAGATAACAGAACAAATAGAATACACTAAAAGTATCAGGTGCACTAACACTGTTGGCCCTGCAAGATGTGGCAAGACAGAGAAACACAACATAAATGAAAAATGTCTTCTGTCTTTGTCTTCACCAGTTATCAACTCTGACAGAAAGTTCTGGGTGTTCGTCCACCTCCGGGCTTGAGTCTTGTTCTTGAACCTGACTGCCGCTTGCACATCAGTTTCACAGATCTGGCTCATTTGTATGCAGACTCTTGGTTTCTTGCCTCTCAGGCAGATGTACAGGCAGATGTACTCCAACTTCACAGGATGCCCACAGTTAGTCAACTCCTAGGAAATCCATTTTTGGGAGGTTTTACAGCATAAAATACAACCTACCCCCACTGGACTAACAAGTTACTTTGTAACCAATTTGTGGTGCCCCAGTATAACTGTGCTATACGGAAGCTGCTGTTCTGTAGTGGCCAGATGCTTGCCTGTGGATCTGAAGGTTGTAGGTTCAAGTCCAAAAATGATCAGACTTTGGTTAAAAAAAACAACCTCTTCCTAGGTTGACCAACCCTCAGTGTGTACCAGCTTTAAGTCAGGGGAAGTAAAGGCAGCTGGCATGTTGTTGACCACATCACCCACCAAGTGCCGACTGGTCTATAAAACATAGATCTAGCCCTATATGCCCAATAAGCCTAAAGCCATGGAAATGGCTGAACAGGGTTTCCAGGATGTGTACCTGTTTGATTGTCATTCTTCAGATGTTAATTCTACAGACCGCCATCCTGGTAGGGAAAAACCTTGAATAAAACAACTTTGCATATCACACTAGCTATGAATGAAAACCAAGATAAATATAAAGTTGAACGAGTTACCTTCTCGCCTGAAAGCCTTTCGCAGGAACAAGCCGATGGGTTGCATAACACCACTGACACAGACATCCATGGGGGGGACTCGCAACTTGTTATCATAAAGTCTCAAGTCTCTGAGGAAGATGAGCTGATCAAAAGCTTGTGGTAGAGTTGTTAGCAAGTTGCTGTTGAGATGAAGGAGTTGTAGATTCTGCATGTCACAAATTGTGTCTGGCAAACTGGTGATCTCATTGTGGTCAGCATACAAGTGTGTCAGGTTAGTCATGCCACTGATTGATTTAGGGAATGTCTTCAGAAGATTATTGCTGACAATTAGTTCTCTGGCCTTGCAGGAACCTATCTCATTAGGGAGACTGGTTATTTTAACCCCATTTGCCTGGTCAAATCGCAGAATTTCCAGGTTCGGCACAGCACAGACAGTTTTGGGGAATTCCGAGTACCTATTGTTGGAGAGGTCAAGCTCCCGCAGGCTGGTCATGTGAGACACCTCTTCTGGAACATCTGATAAGGCATTGTCTGACAGGTCAAGGCCACGGAGTTTGGCAAGACTGTACAGTTGTGGAGGGACTTCTTCGAGAAGGTTTTCTTTGAGATTTAAAACCTGGATGTAAACATCAGTGAAGCAGTTGGTCATCCTAAAGTTCACAGTGTCAAGGAAACAATTTGTTATGGGGGTAGATAATATTATGTCAGAACGGAAACTTGGTTATTGAATATCTTCTTCTTCTTCTTCTTTTTAGCATTTACCAGCTGTAAACTTTAGTGGAAAGTTCTCATTGGTTGTCCACATCTAGACTTTTTTTCTTGTTCCAGAACTTGAATTTTGCATGCATTTCTCTTTTACAGACCTGCTTATTTGTATGCAGATTGTTGGTTTCACATCTATCAGGATGATGCGCTCCGACTTTGGAAGAAAAATCCCAAACTAGTCACCTTTTATGACATTCTTGATGTAGAGGCAGCAGGTCTATTCTTTTGTTTTTTCCACCATAATGAGGCCTGAAAGCCACACAAGAAGCTTATAAAATAAAACTGCTATTGTTAAATGTGTCAGTTTCCAAAATGTAAATTGAGCAAAATGATATGTAATAATTTACTAACTTGTTCAATGCTATGCAGCTGATAACGGTTAACTTATTCTATTTTACAAAGTTGTCACTTGAACTAATAAATGTATCAGTCTTATAGAGTTGCAACAGTAACCCAGTGAAATGAGTTATAGTAACATTTGAAACCAAGCGGGTTAGTGTTAACAATCTGGGGGTTGCAGAGCCCCATTTCATGGAAGGGGAGGGGAAATTAGACCCTCTGTCGCCTAACAAACATGTTGTACAAAGATACTAATTAGAAATTTGATTTAGTGAGCTGCAAGACACCGGGAATCAGTATATCACTACTCAGTATGCCATCACTCGTTAAACAATGAAAACAAAGGAAGAAGTGTACAGCTAACAGCCGGAGGTACAGAAGTTTAGAAAATTATATCACAGTGGTTCTCAACCTTCCTAATGCCGCGGCCCTTTAATACAGTTCCTTATGTTGTGGTGACCCTTTAATACAGTTCCTCATGTTGTGGCGACCCTTTAATACAGTTCCTCATGTTGTGGCGACTCTTTAATACAGTTCCTCATGTTGTAGTGACCCTTTAATACAGTTCCTCATGTTGTGGTGGCTCTTTAATACAGTTCCTCTTGTTGTGGCGACCCTTTAATACAGTTCCTCATGTTGTGGCGACACTTTAATACAGTTTCTGATGTTGTGGCGACTCTTTAATACAGTTCCTCATGTTGTGGTGACCCTTTAATACAGTTCCTCATGTTGTAGTGACCCTTTAATACAGTTCCTCATGTTGTGGCGACCCTTTAATACAGTTCCTCATGTTGTGGCGACTCTTTAATACAGTTCCTCATGTTGTAGTGACCCTTTAATACAGTTCCTCATGTTGTAGTGACCCTTTAATACAGTTCCTCATGTTGTGGCGACCCTTTAATACAGTTCCTCATGTTGTGGCGACACTTTAATACAGTTTCTGATGTTGTGGCGACCCTTTAATACAGTTCCTGATGTTGTGGCGACTCTTTAATACAGTTCCTCATGTTGTGGCGACACTTTAATACAGTTTCTGATGTTGTGGCGACTCTTTAATACAGTTCCTCATGTTGTGGTGACTCTTTAATACAGTTCCTCATGTTGTGGCAACCCTTTAATACAGTTCCTGATGTTGTGGCGACCCTTTAATACAGTTCCTCATGTTGTGGCGACCCTTTAATACAGTTCCTCATGTTGTGGCGACCCTTTAATACAGTTCCTGATGTTGTGGCGACCCTTTAATACAGTTCCTCATGTTGTGGCGACCCTTTAATACAGTTCCTCATGTTGTGGCGACCCTTTCATACTGTTCATCATGTTGTGGCGACCCTTTAATACAGTTCCTCATGTTGTGGCGACTTTTTAATACAGTTCCTCATGTTGTAGTGACCCTTTAATACAGTTCCTGATGTTGTGGTGACCCTTTAATACAGTTCCTCATGTTGTGGTGACCCTTTAATACAGTTCCTCATGTTGTGGTGACCCTTTAATACAGTTCCTCGTGTTGTGGTGACCCTTTAATACAGTTCCTCGTGTTGTGGTGACCCTTTAATACAGTTCCTCATGCTGTGGTGACCTCCAAACATCTGTTGCTACTTCATAACTTTAGTGTTTTCTAATAGTCTTAGGCGAAACCTGTGAAAGGGTCATTCGACCCCCAAAGGGGTCGCGACACACAGGTTTAGAAACACTCCAATATCACATATTTAAAAAAGAATAAACACATGGGTATTTGGTTACTCAATGCGCTAACTAAGACATCTCTCACCATTAGGTTGAACAAATCACAGATTTCATTGGGGATGGCGATCAGGTTATTACAGGAAACATCCAGAACTTCCAGGGATTTGACCTAGAGAAAAATAAAATGTTCACATGCTTACAATTTTGTTGTCAAAATGTTTTTCACATATAACGTTTCAGACAACATTCTTTTTAATTTTTATCACACACACAGGTTCACACAACCTGTGCAGAGAGCAAGAACTAGCTGAACTAATCGACCTACTTGATAAAATATCTACTAAGTATAGCGAAGACAAAATGCTGACAAGACATAAGTAACTTCAAATAATCCAGTTTCTATAGATACACTAATATATACTAAAGCTGAAATACTACAGAAAGATTATCAGGATAGCATGGACACAGAAAAAAGAAAAGAAATACTGACAATTTTAAAGATCTGAACATCAAGAAAGATTGGCTAGTAAACAACATCTTGTTCCAGAAACTGAAATATTTTGGCCATATCAAGTCCCAGGTGGGTTGGAAAAACAAACAACAATTGTAGCAGAAGGCATAGTACCAGAAAAGAAGGGTAGGAGACAAGATGTTCTGGCAAATGCTCAAGGATCAGAGGAAAGGCAAGACGGACGTTTAATCAGAATGCTACTGGCACCATTAGTATCATAAATCTTTACTGGCTCTGAAGATGGGGATGGAGCACTTATGGTAATGCCCCGAGTGCTGTGATGTCGGTTCCACCAGCATGAAGTTGGGTATAGGGTATAACTGTCACTCTGAGTAGGAAAGTGAATGAGACGAGTTTCTTTCAGGCAGACCATGACGAGAGTCATGTTCTATAAAGGATCTGCAACATGATGATGATGATGATGACGATCTTAAAAGTTAACAAACTAGAACAGCTGAATCAGTTCAGATGTCTAGGATCCATTTTCAGTGACTAAAGTCTAAACCAGACATTAAGACCCCCCCCCCCCCCCCCCCCCCCCCCCCCCCACCTCCCACTTGTATGTTACAAGAATCAAACATGGACCCTTATTAAAAATAATGATATGTCTTAAATGAGCTGCCGGAATAACAAGCAATAAAATTAAAGATGAAGAAATTTATGTGTCTGGCCTTAAAACAATAGTTGGCAAACTTTTTTGTAGTTTACAGCTAAGCTGTTATGTCTGCACCTTTCGGCCCAACACACTTAGTTTCACCAAACTCCTAATTAGTCTAATTAGTCCCCTTTTATTAGTTCAAATACCTTGGAGTTGTATTAGACCAAAATGGAGGCATTAAGACTGAGCTGGCTACACGAAAAGCAGCTGCTGGGAGACTCTTCCAGGCCATAAACCGAGGGTTTCTTAGCAAAAGAGAAATTGGCAAGAGGACGAAAATGGCTGTCTACCGCTCTACCTATGTACCAGTCCTGACCTATGGGTGTGAGTCATGGGCAATGACAACAGCTCACAGAAGCCAGCTGCAGGCCTCGGAAATGAGATACCTGAGAAAGGTGGTCCAAGTGACAAGAAGGGACAAAGTCCGCAATCAGACAATACGTCAAGATCTTGATACCCAGCCCTTACTAACCCGAGTGGATCAGTCACAGTTACGATGGTTTGGACATGTGTGCAGAATGGGAGAAAATCGGCCACCATGGCAAGCATGGGAGGCTAAGAACCAGGGAACCAGACCTCCGGGACGACCCAGGGTGCGCTGGGAAGACAACATCCGACAGTCCCTGACTGACAGAGGACTGGAATGGAACAAAGCCAGAAAGAAAACTGCTGATAGAGACGTCTGGCGATCTCTCTGGCAAACCTCTACACCCCAAGGTAGAAGAGGAGCGATTAAGTTAAGTTAAGTTAGTCCCCTTTTATGACATACATGTTATCTGGGCGATGGGTCTATTCTTTTTTCCCCACTCAAAATGGTTCCTCGGAACCCTTAAATGACATCATCAACTAAAAATGAAATAACAAAATTGCCTCCAACCTGGAACAAAATCAACAGATATTTCCCAATTTATTTTACCGTTCTTAAAGGACACTCCAATCAATGTTGCAAGCTAGCAACACCTTAGTTCTTCCTTTCAAGATTAACATCTTAAAATACAAAGCAAATCTCTAAATTGTGAGTCTCCTTCAGCAAATACTGTAAGTTGTAGATGGTGACTGTTCCAGTAATACAGTGAGTGTCCCAAACACAAACAGGAATTATAAACATCTACACCTCATAATTTTTGTCAGAGAGAGATAAAACATCAATATGTAAAACATGTCTCTTGCTGGCAAAATAATTTCCATGATGTCATGCACACACGGATTGTTTCTGCCTTATTTATTTGGATATTTCAGCCAATGAAAATGCTGCTTAGATTATGTAAATATTTGCCTTACAAAAAGCCAATGAGAGCAGAGCTTAGATTAATAAGATTCAGCCAAGGTTCCGGTTTCAAGATGGAGGGATGTTTTCCTTCAAGCTTGTCTCCAGTCCGTTGATCGGTAGCCTAACAAGCCGCCATCGTAAAACATCCACTGTTACAGAAACAGATTTCTGGCTTTAAACGTCATGTCGTTTCGTTCTAATTTGTTGAATGCCACCGATGTTTTTAAAATTGGATTCACAGTCTCTGTTGTCAAACCAACATCAAATCACATTTAACTCTGAGATACAAAACAACTACGTACAAACCTTAACTAACAAAAATAATGTTGAATACAGCATAGAACAAAAATGGAGCTTCTTTAGAGACACCTTCAAGGAAGCCGCAGTCAACACAGTTGGTTACATACAAAGCAAGAAGAAACAATGGCTGAGTGAAAACAGTTGGATAAAAATTCAGGAAAGAAAACAGGCCAAATTATCCCTTTTATCTACAAAAGACACATCTGTATATGAAAAAGTCAAACAAAGGTACACCTTGATAGATAAAGAAGTGAAACATAGTGCACGGAAAGATAAACAAGATTTCATACACAACCTAGCTTGCGATGCTGAAACGGCTGCCAGAACTGGGAACAATAAAGCTGTATTCCACATCATGAAACAGCTGTGCAACCATACACCTACAGCAAACGCACCCATCAAAGACAAACAGGGTAAATCATTATTATCTGAAGAACAACAAAAGCAACGATGGGCAGAACATTTCAGAGAAATATTAAATAGGCCACAACCCGACACTGTTCCCAATATAGACGAAGAAGAAGCTATGCCACCTCTAGATGCTACCTGTGAACCATTCACAATGTTAGAACTTAAATCAGCAATAAAAAAACTAAAGAAGAACAAGGCTACTGGCGCAGATGAAATCTCAGCTGAAATGTTAAAGGCAGCAGACGAAAACACCTTACAATATTTGCTACAGCTGTTCAATGATGTTTGGCTAAATGAATCCCCACCGCAACAGTGGAAAGAAGGTGTTATATTCAAACTGCCCAAAAAAGGTGATTTAGCAGACTGCAACAACTGGCGTGGTATCACCCTACTCTCCGTACCAGGAAAACTGTTCTGCAGCATGCTAATGCAGAGACTGAAAAAGCCAATAGATGCAAGACTCCGAGAAGAACAAGCAGGATTCAGACCGAATCGGTCATGCATCGACCATATATTCACACTCAGAACCATCGTAGAAGAGTCAGTAGAGTTTCAATCCCAACTCATCATCAACTTTGTTGATTTTCAGAAGGCCTTTGACAGCATACACCGCCCTACACTCTGGAAGCTACTCACAATCTATGGTTTCCAAGATAAATATGTCAATATTATAAAGGCCTTCTACACCGATTCCCGCTGCCTTGTTAGAACGGAATCTGGTAACTCTGATTGGTTCCCAGTAGAAACAGGCGTGAAACAAGGATGTGTCTTGTCACCGATGCTTTTCGGAATAGCACTCGATTGGGTCATGCGCAAATGCACACAGGACACACATCTAGGCATCAAATGGGTCGACAAAGTTCTCGAAGATCTTGACTTTGCTGACGACCTAGCACTCCTGAGCACAACACATCTAGAAGCTCAGGAAAAAATGGACCGCCTCCAGAATATTTCAAGCCAAATCGGCCTTCAGGTCAACGCAGCCAAAACGAAAATCATCGATCTTACCAACGAGTCGAAAGACATCAAACTAAAGGATATTGTTCTTGAAAAAATCACCAGCTTCACATACTTAGGGAGCAAGATAACCTCTGCGGGAGATACAACATCAGAAATAACGACTCGAATCGCGTTAGCATCAAGTGCCTTTAACAAACTGTCAAACATTTGGAAGTCAAGATCACTCAGCAACAACACGAAACTTAAGGTCTTCAATTCCTGTGTGATCCCAGTGCTAACTTATGGTTGTGAGAGTTGGAAATCATCAGTATCAATCGATAAGAAACTAGTCGCTTTCGAGAATAGATGCCTCCGAAAGCTATTGAATGTTCACTGGTCGGACTTTAGGTCCAATACATCTATAAGACAGGAAACAAAACAAAAATATGTGTCTGATTTTTATTAGAAAGCGTCGCTGGAATTACATCGGTCACGTACTCAGAATGGACATACAGAGACTTCCCCACCAAGCCTTCATATGGTCACCAGAGGGTAAAAGAAAACAGGGAAGACCAAAAGAAACTCTCCGTAGAACCATCACAAGGGAGAGCTCAACCATAGGTCTCAGTCGCACTCAAGACCTACATCAAGTGGCAAAGAACCGACAGACGTGGAAAGCTATGACCTCTGCCCTATGCGCCATCTTTGGCACAAGAGGAATAACTAACTAACTAATGGGAATGGAATTTTATGTTAATGAGAAACCTACCTTACAAACAGCCAATGGGAAGCTGCTTAACTTGTTGACACTCAGATTTAAATGCTTGAGGTGTGAGAGCCCAGCGAAGGTTTCTGGCACTTCTGCGATCTGGTTGTCCTCTGCCAGGAGTACAGTGAGAACACGTAAAGCTCCCACACAGACAGGAAGTGAGGTAAACTCATTCTGGGAAATCATCAAAGTGTGCAGTTTTTGAAGTGTGCTCAGCTCAATGGGCAGGTTGGTCAGTCGGTTGTTGATGACACTCAGACACTGAAACCCAATTTGTCAACAGCCATGCAGTAAAGTAAAAAACACAAGAAGATGCCTGTGAAAAATCTAAACAAACCTTTCAATCATCATCATCATCATCAGTTCTCGTTATGCCTAGTGGCACATGAGGCTTCAGAGAAGACTTTCCATGCTTTCCTGTCCTGTGCATTCTTCAATGCAGTTTTCCATGTCAAAGATGCCACACTCAGGTCACTTTCCATCGTTCGTCTCCATGTTGTTTTTCCCTCTGGTATCCATGTGAGAGCTGTTTTGGCAGGTATATCAGGATTCATTCTCATAACGTGGCCATGCCATTTCCATCTTCTTTCAATCTAAATCATTAATTTATGAGTTCGTTTATACTAAGACAACAAAATACATGATACCCGATCTTACTAACCAAGAGATCAGAGGGACATACAGAATTAGAAACCAAACATTCTTGTAAAAATGAGCAGGATTATACTGGAATTTAAACTAAGTAACTCCTGCTGTTGGTTCCAGGGTCCCATTTTGGAGGAGGAAAAAGCCCACTACCCCCTTCTTCTTCTTCGCGTTCACCAGCTGTACACTCTGGCGGGAAGTTCTGGTTGCTCGTCCACTACTGAACTACAGTCCTGCTCCAGAACCTGAGTGTTGCATGTGCATGAGTTTTACAGATCTCATTCTCTTGAATACAGACTGTTGGTTCCTTGCCTCTCCGGCAGATGCACTCCGACTTCAAAGGAAGCTCCCCAATTAGTCGACTCTTACAACATGCTTTTGGAGAGACAGTGGGTCTATTCTTGTTATCCCTAACAATGGGGCCCCGAAACCCACACGGGGGACTGCCCCCTTAACAAGCATGTCCTAAAAGGTGACTAATTAGGGGTTTTTCTTTTAAAGTCAAAGTGCATCTACTTGAATGGTGAGGAACCAGCAGTCTGCTTCAAATAAGTCTGATCTGTAAAGTAGATTACATGCAAAATAAAGTTCTGGAACAATACCAACGTCCAGAAGTGGATGAACAACCAGAACTTTCCACTGGAGTTTACAGCCACTGAACGCTAAGAAATAGAAGCAGAAACTAAGTAACTGAGCTTGAGGTGAACAGTATAACATTTGACCAATGACCAAATCTTTCCTAGATTCAACAGAAACCATCTGAGAGCCAGCATTCTACATTGTATTGGGGGATATTTTCACCCTGATTGGGAAGGTTGGAGGGGGGGGGGGGGGGAGAGAAAAGCCCCAAGCTAACAATAATACAGAGAGAAGCTAGATACTCGGATTAACTGAGGTTTTCAAGATAAGGGACGACCACAAGTTATCACGTGGAACTCAAAGAGAACGACCACAGGTCGCCACGTGGAACCCAAGAACAACCACGTGTTGCCATGTGGAACGAACACGGGGTATTAAATCAGACCCCAGTCTGGTCAAGTTAGTATGTGTTAGTATGTGTTGACCGTCAGAGCGATACGACATGAGAGTGTTCGGGAGAATGAGAACGTGAAACTGAATGTTGCGAAAGGAAGACCAGACGACAACATCCATCAAAGCCAAGTCCAGCCAAGCCAAGTGGTGTGAAGCTTGAGGAAATGACCAGATCTGTCTATGCGGCGATGTGGAAGTGAAGGTGCCGAATTCTGGTTGATGAATGTGCGAGAAGTAAACGTGTTGGCGTCTGAACAATGTCGTGCGTGTAAGCTGTGAATTAGGACACGGACGGGACATTCTATGTAAGTGATGAGATGTAAATAAACTGTATCATACTTTGAAGTCGGTGTCGGCTTGTCCCAGTTATGTCATCTTAAGAATGTGTGCTAAGATCATTCACTAGACACATCATCTCCTAGACAACCAGCCCAAGGTCAGAACACGAGTTATTGCAAGCTGAGCTTAGTGAAACAAGCTTACTGCATACATCTCTTCTTTGTTTGTTACTAAAGTTGGGAATGGAGCGCTTATAAGAGTGTCATGAGTGTTATACTGTTGATTCTTAATTCAACCTTCTACACCTCTGGGATACTTTTAGGATATACATGTATCTACAGCAAATGTCTATGTTCCCATGTTCTCCACCAGTTTCCCTCACTCCACATGTTCCACTTCTAATCAGTACCTGCCAATGTGAGATTTAAATTATGGGTCTTCAGGTTAAACATTCCACGTCTATTAATGCTGGTTTTGGTCACACACAGGATGACACACTTAAAGTTATCTCTGCTCTTCCACAGCTGACCTCAAGGGTGAGCTCCTGTGGGCCAGATATTCTCCCTGTCTGACTGGCAAAATCTGAGCAGTTTTGTTAGATGGGCTTTGGAGTTTGCTTTGGTACTCCACATTTGCAAGAATAATAAAAAAAAGCTGATTTCCTCATCGTTATCTCCCCATCAATAACTTCCTTGTATTATCTGTAATCACCTGTGTTTGTGCCACCTCCACAATAAAGATTGGCTGTAGTTTACCCAGGTACGCTACAGTGTACCCAGGTTGGCTGCAGTGTACCCAGGTGAGCTGCAGTGTACCCAGGTGAGCTGCAGTGTACCCAGGTGAGCTGCAGTGTACCCAGGTGAGCTGCAGTGTACCCAGGTCACCTACAGTGTACCCAGGTTGGCTGCAGTGTACTAAGGTTGGCTGCAGTGTACCCAGGTTGGCTGCAGTGTACTAAGTTTCGCTGCAGTGTACTAAGGTTGGCTGCAGTGTACCCAGGTTGGCTACAGTGTAACCATGTTGGCTGCAGTGTACCCAGGTCGGCCACAGTGTACCCAGGTCGGCTACAGTGTACCCAGGTCGACTACAGTGTACCAAGGTCAGTTAGTGCTCCCAGGTCAGCTATAGTGTACCTAGGTTGTCTGCAATGTACCCAGGTGGGCTGCAGTGTACCCAGGTGGGCTGCAGTGTACCCAGGTTGGCTAGTGTACCCACTGCTGTCTGTTGGAATATTATGTGGTGAGGTCCCAATCTCTTCTACGGTACCACTCTCGTACTACAACCCAAAACCCATGAGAACGGTTGGTTCAACCATCTGCCGTGGGAACTTAATCCTAGTACCTGAGGATCATAAAATTGTTAACCACAACCTCAAAGCTACAGAGCATCTCTAACAGCATCAACTAGAGAAGGTTCTTACCTCAAGGCTGCAGCACAGGCTGATACTGTCTGGTAGAACTGTCAGCCTGTTGGAGCTGAGGTTCAGTTCTTTCATGCAGTACAGATTTGCAATGTCTTCTGGGATTCGAGTCAACATATTACCCTCCAAGTCTGAAATTATTTTTGTTTAAAACATGAGAAAGAGCCTGTTGTCCCTGTCTGGGTTATGGGGCCCTACTGTGGGAAAAATTAGAACAGACACACTGCCTTCCTAACAAGCATGTCGTAAGAGTCGACTAATTGTAATTGTGACTTCCTTTGAAATTGTAGCGCATCTGTCATAGAAGCAAGGAAGCAACAGTCTGCATAGAAATATGTCAGAGCTGTAAAATGGATGTGCGTGCAACACTCAGGTTCTGGAACAAGACTAGATTCTAGAACAAGACTAGAGTCCACAGGTGGACAAACAACTATAACTTTCTGCTGAAGTTTACAGGTGGTAAATGCAAAGGAGAAGAGCTGCCCGCTGAGAACTGAAACAAAATATAATGGCATGACTGAATAACCAATGCAAAACGTAGGAAGACAACTAAACGAATCCCAGTAGATCAAGAGGTAAGGAAACGATGCTCGTACTGAGAGAATGCACACAATGAAATAAATATCTAATAAAAGTATAACTAGAATTAAAAAGTAGGGCTGTACCGATTAGTGATTTTCACTATTCAGCCGAATACGAATAGCTGGACCAACTATTCGGCCGAATACGAATACGAATAGTGAATCATCATCATCATGTGCTTTGCCGGCTGGCATGGGCGATTATGCCTCGCCACAATCTGCGATATCCTGCAGCACGTATTAGTTCGTGTGCTGACACACCTCCATGAAAAACCTTCGTTCCATGTTGTCAGCATTAGGCCAGCTTTTTTTTTTTTGGTCTTCCAGCTGTACTAAACAGGAAAATACGACAAATACAGAGAGTCAAAATGAAAACCCGCAAGGCTAAACATCAAAAACAAAAATAACGCCGACGAAGAAAACAATGCCGTCCTTACAAGTCGCCCAGCCCCCTGCGAGCTCACAAAACCAGACGCTGGGCGGCCAACGCCAGAAGATCAAACAACAAAGACAATCAAGAAACCGAACTTCGATCAAAACATTCAGCCGCTGCCGTTTCCACAAGACGACGAAAGAACAGATACGAAACCCATAAATGATGACGAACTCCCGTTACTTCAAAGAATCAACGAAGAGGACACTCCACTCAAAGAAATCAAGCCGACAACACTAGAACACTTGCTTTTCTGCCCCTCTTACATTTTTAAGTGTTGCATTTTGTTTCTACAGCAACACACCTAAAAACACTATACTCGCAACACATGCAAGATGGAAATAAAGGGGCACTTGGTACGCTCGTAGGTGGTGCACAAAGATAACGCTTTACAGTATAAAACAAGGTGGGAAGTCTTGATGTTTTTTTTCCACCAGTCCAGAAACGGTTGTGAGGTAACCACTATTCGTATTCGGCCCGACCGCAACTATTCGGCCGAATACCAAATAGTTATTGGGTCCATTATTCGGCCCCGAAGCGAATACGAAGCGAATATTCGGTACAGCCCTATTAAAAAGGGAGAAAAAAAATAACAGCATACAGAAAAAAATAGAGGCATGAATAATATGAAGAAGAGAAGAAATTACGGAAGGACAGTATGAAATATTGATGGAGTGTTGTAGTTATGGCGTGACTTCTCATTTTTTTCTGCTTTGCTGTTATTTTTTTTTGCTGTTACACCAAATTCAATCAAATATCAGGGAAACAGAGATTGCTCATGTCTACTCCAGACCTGGCACCTGAAGAAAAAAAAAGAAGGTGTGGCAAGCTAAGCTGCAAACAGCCTCACAACAGGAATACCAGAACTAACAAAATGACCAAGAGAGGACCATGTCCTTACTGTGTCTGTATGGCTAATCAAAGCTGTAGAAACGCTACATCGGTTAGCCAGTGTGGTCAAGTTCAAACTGTATTGCACTTGCAGTCACATTCCTGAGGAAGCCCTGGCAAATGGATCAGAAAATCATCAGCAAATGACAACCGGGTGTTTGCTGAGAAGGTTTTCTGACAGGATGATGTACTGAGACACTCTGATAAAGTGTATGAGCAAGGTGCTTTATCTGATATCTTTTTAAAATACTGTTTTTTCCCCGAACAGTTCTTTTTGTCATTTTCAGTCTTGCCAGAACTTCACTTTAGAGGTATATTAGGAAAATACCAGGTCACGATTCACACAGCACAAATGAATTGGCTGGGATCAGATCTAGGCTGGTCATGTTTTCCTCCACTGGTTTTAGGAATTCTTTGTCAAAAGACTTCAGCCAAATGCTCAAAAGGAAGACAGACAAAACAATTCATGGATAAACCTATGTTGTATATAATTAAATGACCTATTCTCACAGGTTTACCCAAGACTTCAATCTGGCTGAGGTTCATCAGTTCATGAGGCAGGTCCGTCAGTTTGTTATGGCTTAGCCCCAGGGCCTTCAATTGTGTCATGTTCTGGATGTCCGCCTGCAACTCTGGAAGTTGGTTGCCAGAGAACGATAACTCTATCAGACCTTCAAGCCAGAATATCTACATTAAAATAGAAAAGTGATTACAGTTTTCACAATTAAATAATATATTAAAGTAATTTTTATCCATACACTGTCTTAAAATTTAATAATGAGGCTGATTTTTATCAAGGTAAAAACAAAAATTCAATTTACAGCATGTTATCCATACAAGCCACATTCATCTAGGCTTTGGCAAACTTGCAACACTGTCAGGGTCAGCAGATGACAAATAACCCATTTAGTATAGCTAGTGAGAGATGCATGGTTATGTGTGCAGCATGGAGCAAACACATTAAAGTTGCGACAGACATGGATCATCTTCTACATAAGGCCTTGGGGGACAGCAAGGTGAATCGACTGAAAAGAGGTAGTTCTTGGATGGCACAAGCAGAAGTCACTATAAAATATGCCCTGCTGACAAAATAGCGCATGGTGAGGAAAAGATCACAGTGTCGCCCAGCAAAACAGCCTTGCATAGAGTGATAGTTACCTTCGATAGAGGCTGTCGGGAATGGATAGCTGGTGAAACAAAGACAACAATGCAAGAGCTGATCAATGAAAATTTACGCCTAGGTCACATCATTATATACACAGAGGGGTCTGTAGAGAGAGGTAAGAAGAGTGAATGGTTTTTTGCTGAAGGTGAATGGACACTATTTGAAAACAGACAGCCTCGCATATGTCACAACATTCAGGATGAGAATGGAGGTGGAGGCAGTATCAGCAGCTTTTCCATGGCTAGAGAGCAGTGCAGCCCAACATGTGGTAATTGTAATGGACTCACAGAGCATGCTTTGGAAAACTGAAACTGAATAGAGGGTTTGGAAGGTATTCAACACTGATGGAGAACAAAGGCAGACGTTTAATCAGGTTGTAACTGGTACTGTTAGCGTGACAACTATTCGCTGGCTACTGAGGAAGGAGACGGAGCACTTGTGGGAATATCCTGAGTGCAGTGAAGTCAGTTCCTGACTGAATGATTAATTCATTTATAAGTCTTTTTTTTGCGCCATGGAAAAACATAAATGTGCAATCTACTGTTTGTGTCTTTATTCTTCTTAGCGTTCACCGGCTGAAAACTCCAGCAGAAAGTTCCGGTTGTTTGTACACTTCTGGACTTCAGTCTTGTCCAGAACTTGATTTTAATGTGCACCTCCCCCCCCCCCACTTTCCACTGCCCCAATGGGCCCCTCTAAACTCACGTAGGGACTTTATTATTCAAATTTACAATCACAAAACTTTAGAATATCTTTAAAAAATAGGAAAGATAAAGGAGAAGATGCCTGACCTGTATAGGAATAAACTCGCAGAGGTTATCACTCAGTAGCAACTGCTGCAGGCTGATCATATCCTCAATGGCGTGTGGCAGGCTGGTCATTTTGTTGCCAGATAAGCCAAGACGTTGAAGTTTTGTCAGTTTGCAAACTGACGGGTTTAAAAATACGAGCATGTTCCGCTCCAATCCAAGAATCTGGACAATGTGAATGTATTATTTATACAAAAATGAATATTGCAAGAGGAAGCACGAAGAATTATGTGTGCTGCTAAGACCACATATTTAAATGTTTACACACAGAATAAGGTCAATGTTTTGCTCTTCAGTAGAGTTGACTAATTAAAAAAAAACTGGTTGAAAACCCATGGCAATTTCTGGTAAAAAATTCTTTAAAAAAATAAATAAAAAACCATAACACAGGTCACTAATAAATTGTTTTAAAAGTTTACTCATCAACATTTTTTTTCTCTAAAGATAAAAAGATATATAAAGGAGTGATCAACACACGAACAGTGAAGCAATAAATGGAATACATTTGGACCTAAGAGAAAGTACATATCAGGTGACTCAGTGACCTCAATTACTTCATCCTACAGAAAAATTTGACATCAACTTGGCTTTAAAACAGCCACTGGGGTCATAAGGAAACCCTCTAAATGCTATTTTTATCACTTTACAGGCCTATTACAGGTGCACACAGAACCAATAAAATGTCACTGAATTCTTTGAGAAGAGGTCACTGCAGACATGATGATGTATCAGCATTTATAGCACTGTGTCACAACTGGAAGTGACTAGTTTTCTGGGGGCAACAGCTTGAAATAAGTAAATGTTAATCAGTCCAAAGATAGTTAGTGTATACAGCACAGAATAATATGATATAGCTTTGATTTGATATTTTTGTGACTTATGAAATGAAAAAAAAAATGATGTGCCATCTCCACAATGAAGGTTGGCTACAGTGTGCCTATTGTTGACTTTCTGATCACTACGAGATGAAGCTTGAATGTCTTTCACCACAGTGCGGCTCTTGTAGTACCCCCTGAAAGCCGCGAGAAATTGCTAATTTTTTAAACCACCAACCATGGAAACTGAACTCCAGTTATCTCACACTTTGGCATGAGCTTATTGACTATCTGGGGGTATCTTTCAAAGTCAGAGTACATCTGCATGAGAAGCAAGGAACCAAGAGTCTGCACACAAATAAACCAGATCTGTGAAAGGATGGGCATGCAACATTCACGTTCTGGAATAAGACTGAAGTCCGGAGGTGGACAAATACCCAAAATGGTAATTGCTAAGAAGAAGAAGAAGCCACACCAAACTGAATGTGACAAGATCTCATTACAGGACAAGACAAAGATATGGTATGAATCGGACTATTCACGACAAGTTATCACCTGTAGATTTCCTAAGCTGGACATACTGTCTGGTAGTGAGGTGAGAATGTTGTCATTGACCCCCAGAACGCGCAGCTGCTTCAAGTCCCCAATATTGTGTGGTAAACTCTCCAGACGGTTTCCATTTAGTAGAAGCTGATTGAGATTGACCAGATTGGCTATTTCTATGGGAATGCTGGAGATCTCATTATTTGATAAATTCAAAACCTGAAACAAAAATACAAAGAAAACTGAAGCAACAGAAAAACATTTACAATCACATATCCTTTTTTGTAACTGACTCACAGAGCATGTTGAGAAAGGTGGAGACAGCTATGATCCGTGCTGAGTGGAAAGCATCACCTCAGAGGTCCCGGGCAGTTAGCATCCTTTAGATATTTTTGCCAGGTAATGCCGGTGTGTTGGGAAATGAGCAGGCAGATAGACTGGCCTGTTCTGCACAGCTTGGTGGTGAATTAATGTATGACAAGCTAAATATTGTGAGGGCCCTTTGAGAAAGACATTGCAAGGAAATACCAGGGGATCTGGCTGACGCTCAACACTCAAGGAAAAGATGAGATGGATATGCAATCAAAGGGTCTCTGTAGTCATCGGACCTGAACTCTTCGCTTGATGAGGAAGATAGGATGGAGCGCTTATGGGAGTGTCCCGAGTTTTATAATGATGAGTCTCAATTCAACATTCAACATTTTATCATCATCGAGGTGCGGTTCTGTGGCTTAGAGGTTAGTATTCTATTTCTTCTTCCTAGTGTTCACTGGCTGAAACTGGCTGGAAGTTCAAACTGTTCACTCCATTTCTGGCCTTTGATTTTGTTCCAGAACTTGAGTTTAAGAGTTCAGTGAAATGGTTTCACAATGCAATCCTCAATGTTTACCAGGGTTCCCTTCCCATGGTGGATGGCTCGGAAAAAGACTGCTCTTTCGACCAGTTGTAGGGAAGTCACAAGATGGAGGAGATTGGGGCCTCATCACATAATTTTCCTATAGTTACCAGTGAATGGGAGTCGCATGGCAGAGCTGCTAGACGCACGCCGCGGATCGGAAGGTCATGGGTTCGCTCCCTGGCAGAGCCGGACTTTTCTTCAAAAATGACCATGGCTCCCAGGTCGACCCAACCTTGAGTAGGTACCGGGTGCAGTCCCGGGAAGTAGAGGCGGCCGGGGTGATGCTGACCACATCACCCATCTTGTGCCGATTGGTCTATAAAATATAGGTCTAGCCCTATATGCCTAAAGGTGTGGAACAGGTTTTTTTTTTTTTTTTTCCAGTGAATGTAGTGCAGCAAACCTAAACTGTGGAGATGACACAAACAATTTGCTGTCACTGCTGTAGGTGGCAGAGTATCCATACTGGGAGGGAGAGACTTCTTCTTCTTCTTTGCGCTCACCAGCTTTAAACTCTGGAGGAAAGTTCTGGTTGTTCATCCACTTGTGGACTGCAGTCCTGTTCCAGAACCTGAGTGTTGCATGTGCATCCATTTTACAGATCTAACTCATTTGTATGCAGACTGCTGGTTCCTTGCCTCTCAGGCAGACGCACTCGGACTTCAAAGAAAGCTCCCAATTAGTCGACTCTTACGACATGCTTTTAGGTAGGCAGTGGGTCTATTCTTGTTTTTCCTATAATAGGGCACCGGAACCCACGCGGGGAGGAGGCAGAGACTGATTCAGGAGGGAGGGAGCAGAGGGTCTGGAAAATATTCTCAATGTGAAGGCTAACTAGGGCAATAAATGCTTGCAAAAGTCAGATGTGTCGGCCGAAAGATGCAAATATCATAGCCATGTTGTAAACAGACACAATACGTGCAGAAGAAGATATTCAATGGGGGAAGGGGGGGGGGGAGACAGGTAGATTTGTAGTCAGGTTGCAGATGGCAACACCAGTGTGGGGATATTTTAATGGCCAATGGGGAAGGAGAGTAAGGACTGTATGAATGTCCCTGAGTGCAATATATCAATTCTTGATTACCTTTCATTTTTTTTTAGATCGAGGCAGAATCCATATAAGAAAAAGAATAGAGGAATAGACCCGCTGCCCTCCAACAAGCATATCGTAAGAGTCAACTAATTAGGGATGTTTAATTTCAAAGTCAGAGTGCAGCTGCCTGAGAGGCAAGGAACCAATAGTCTGCACACAAATAAGAAAGATCTATAAAACAGATGTGCATGCAAAACTCAGGTTCTGGAACAAGACTAGTTCGGAAGTGGATGACCAACCAGGACTTTCCGGCCAGAGTTTACAGCTGTGAAAGTAAAGAAGAAAAAAAATATAATCAAAGAAAGACAAACAACAAATCTAAACAACAACATATTTACCTGCAGTTTGCTGAGGGTGAAGATATTCTTATTCACCATGTGGATATTGTTGCCAGTGAGAACCAAAGCTTCAAGTTTGCCCAGTTGTTTGATATCGTCTGGCACACGCTCAATATCATTGTTCAGCAGAAACAAACAGTTGAGATCCGCAAGCTCAAAAACTGCCTCTGGTATTTCCCGGTAACCTTTGTTGTTCAACTCCAGGCAGATCTGGGGAAACACAGTTGGATTGTTTTCTAAACTGAAAGTGGAAATCATTTTGGGAGGGTTCCAGTTCAGAAGGGTGGTCTCCCTGGTGATGTGGTCAAGCCGTTTGCTTTGTGCTCTGAAGATGGTGGGTTTGTTTCAAGGCCATGTCATTCTGGTTCACAAGTAAAGTTTTACGTAGATCCCTGGGGGATGATTACCATAGCTATGGAATTTGTGCTTTGTTTGACACTCTTGAATAAGAGACAAACACTGTTCTTTGGCCATATAATGAGAAGAGAGACATTAGAAAACATCGTGACAACTGGAAAGATCAGTGGAAAAAGGGGTAGAAACAGACCGAGAGAGATGATGCTGGATGGGCTGAAATGATGGCACAGAGGGATATCATCAAGACAGCTCTTTCAGGCAACAAGGGATCGTGATCTGTGGAGATGCATGAGCGCCTACACCAGTTGGCAGGACACATGATGGTGATGACACACTTGGCAGGTGGCTAGCTGTTCTATGGAGAGATACCAAGCCAAACGGGATAAAACCCAGTGTAATGAAGTTGATCCTCTTGATTAAAACAAAATTTTCAAGTCCAGAATGTGAGTTAATTATGATTTTTTTTCTAAAGAAATCATTAACAGCCAGCGTGAATCAGGTATGCTCTTTCTGACCTGAAAACAAAAAATGCTGGTTAATCAAATGTGAAAATCACTCAGTCAAAATGAATCTTCAGTCTAAGACAATTTGAGGAGGGGTAACACTGTTAACATTCAATGTTATCTTAAAGGTCTACACAACACCAAAATCCCAAAGTTTGATTGACTGTATCCACATGTGGGTTCTGTGACCGTATTTGTTTGGAAAAAGAACAGGCCCACTGAGGCCCCTCCCCCACACCCCAGCATGATTTAAAATGTAACCAATTAGGGATTTGTTGAGCGGAAAGACAAAGATATTTTGTCAACTACCCTTTTAAAGGTAAATGCAGAAGAAAATAAAGAAGAGTGTTAACTATGGAGCTAGCCCCAAAGAATGACAGATCTGACTGTTCATATGTAGGTGACCACTGATAATTTTGTTAACAGTATATTTTTCTATAAAAAGGATTACAAAAAACATAGATTACATGTTAGCTTTACAAGATCAGTTACAAAACAAAGAAAAGTTGCAGGGATTAGCCTTCATCCGGAGAAGTGTGAGAAGAAAACAAAAAACACAAAAAAGCTGAGGACACTTCAGTTCTCAAATATTATGTAAACAGATGAAACAAAATTACAATCAAGTATGTGATACTTAGCTGGACTACTTTGAATTACCCCATTTTTTATTGCAGTCACATCATTTCAATATTTTTATATAATCAAAACATAAGGGCTTCAAATGAAAACCTTAAAAGTATGGCAGAAATCATAGGAACCATGCCGTTGTCTTGTAACCTGTTTCAAAATGGCATAATCCCTGTGGGAGTTCTGGGGCCCCATTGTGAGGGGCGGGGCGGGGGGGGGGGGGGGTGTCAAGAATAGACCCACTGCCTACCAAATAAGCATGTCATAGGAGTTGACTAATTGTGGACTTCCTTAAAAGTTGGAGTGCATCTGCCTGAGAGGCAAGGAATCACAGGTCTGCCTACAGATAAGCCGGATCTGTAAATCGGATGTGCACGCAACACTCAGGTTCTGGAGAAAGACTAAAGTCCAGAGGTGGATGAACACCTAGAACTTTCCATGGGTGTTCACAGCCTGTGAACACGAAGAAGAAGAAGAAGAAGAAGAAAATGGCGTGACTGCTGTGACAGAGCCCTCATGACCCGGTCAGGCCATCTTTACCCAGAAGTTGATGTCGTTTTGAAACTTTTACTACACTCATACACTTGCTGGATTGACAGACATGTTCTTCTTTGGAGCATGTCAAAAGTGGGGTGGCCATCCTTGAAGTGTCATTATGACATCACTGTGTTCACCTACATAGTGATGTAATATGCTTTACACTCTTGACATCCATAACAACAATATTGACGAGTTAACGGACAATGGCATGGTTACTGCAGTTTTAATCACATCTTTAAGGTTTTCACTTGAAGCCCCACAGTTAAACAACACAGCTGACTTCAAATTAATTTGACTTTAGAACAAGCTGGTCAGAATTCACTTTTACCTTAGGTCCCTGTATGAGCAGCTGATTGGCATATTTGTATGTTTTCTTTCCTTGAGTTTTCTTCTTCATAGATATTTTTGACTGTTTCACCTTGGCGAGATCCACACCTGAGGAATGTCAGCATTACAAACATCAGAAGATTTAAAAAAAGGGATATATCACCTTAACAGGAACATGCAATTGCTTGGATGGCAAACAATCAATATTTATTGACCAAAGAAACTACAGTGGCATAGTAGTTAGTATACCTACCTGCCAAAGTAGTGGTTCAGGTTCTTGTTCTTCATTTTACTAATGTTCCAGAGCTGTAAACACTAAAGGAAAGTTTTGGTTGATTGTCCACTTCTGAACTGTAGTCCTGTTTCAGAACAGGTTTTGGGTGTACATTTTACAGATCTGGCCTATTTATATGCAGACTGTTGGTTCCTCACCTCTCAGGCAGATGCACTTTCACAACATGCTTGTTAGGGGGCTGTGGATCTACCCTAAATAAGACTCCTATCCACCTACACTGTTAGAATGGAGAGAGAGCTGAGGAATACAGTAGCTAACCACATCATCTGGCAGACAGACAAATTAAAAGACAAAGAGAATTCTAAAAACCTTATATAAGCCACTCATCATCACCATCTAGTGCAGTGGTTTTGAACCTTCCTAATGCTGCAACCCTTTTTACAGTTCCTCATGTTGTGGAGACCCCCACCTGTGCAAACTTTTAGTTGCTACTTCATAACTTCACTGAATATGTGTTTTCCTTTGGTCTTAGGCGACCCCTGTGAAAGGGTCATTTGAACCCCGAAAAGGTCATGACCCACAGGTTGAGAACTGCTGATCTAGTGCATTGCCACCTGGCATGGGTGATCATGCCTCTCTACAACTTGTGATCTCTAACAGCATGTATCAGTTCGTGTCAGTGGCACGGCATGCATGTAATGGCTGTTTTCACTGCTTACACTTTCGACTGCAAAATAAAAATGCATTATTTACTGTTTGTTTTTACTGTTTACTATTCATTAATAAATAAATAAATTCTCCACTGGGTTTACGTCTGGCCAGGCATGTAAAGTTTGTTAACATTATTAATATTGCAAAAAGAACATGTGCTGCATACTTAAGCTCACGTGGCGTGGATTGGAGCTATACTAGATGGCTAGGACTCACCAGCAAAGCTGCAGGAGATGCGGAAGCTGCTGCTCGTGAGTCCTAGCCATCTAGTTTAGCCCCAATCCACTTGGCGGTGGCGGTAATAGCCGGAAATCCGCAAATTTATTCGCCGGAAGTGCGCAATTGACACGTGACTGAGGCTCTGTTAGGATGTTTTTACGGCCGCCATCTTTTGTGCCCGTTATTCGGAGGATAGCCCAGCACAGTGTGAGTATGTGATGCAGAGTAAGCACTGAAAGAGTTAATCAGTTAACAACTACCGGGTTAGCACACACAGTGAAACATCAGGCTATGATTGCTGTGTATTTTTAGCTAGTATAAGGATTCTTCATCCTCTTTTTAGCGTTCACAAGCTGTTAACTATGGCGGTAAGTTCTTGTTGTTGTTGTGCATCTCTGGACTTTGACTCACTTATTCCAGAACCAGAGTTTGGCATGCACATTCGTTTTTAAAGATCTGGCTTATTTTATGCAGACTGTTGGTTCCATTCTCTGACTTCAAAAAGGAAACAAACTTTGCTAAATAATGAGTGCTTACTGTTTTTATTCATGGTTGTGTTTCTGTATGTGGGTATCTGTCTTCCCTTAAACTGCCGCCAAAGTTTCCAGTAGAGTAGCGGCGCCGTCGCCGGGTAACTACTAGGAAGTTGTATACATTAAACTTTTCAGCACAAGAACTTTCTTCGTTATATACGCTTTTCGAATTTATTTTTGCATGTTATGCTATGTTATCACAGTCAACTTCACTGCACATTTGGTATTCCCATGTTTGCTGTCCTCTGAAGCAGCAACCTCTCCGAGGTACTTATTGTTCCTATTATTTTTGTATGCGTTGGGGAAGGAAGAGGGAAAGGGGGTGAAGGGGGGAAGGGGGAGACAGAGACAGGCTTTTTGATTTATTTTTGTATATGTAGATAGATAGAGAGCAAATGAGAGAGAGAGAGAGAGAGAGAGAGAGAGAGAGAGAGAGAAAGAGAGAGAGAGAGAGAGAGCGTGTGCGTTGGTTTGTGTGAATGTATGATGCTAGTTCTCGTAAGAATATGTACGAAGAAGATACTCCTAATAGATCGTGGGTGGGAGTCTGTTCAATTGCATGTTAGGTGATACACAATTGCATATTTCCCATAAATGTAATGGCAACAGCACAATCACGCATGCTATCACAATGTTGCAAGAGCAACAACTGGTCTGCAATACAAGGATAACATCCAGCCAGAGATGGGCGAGGAGCAGTCTCAGAGTATAGCCAGGACGAGAGACACAGATTATTGGAGATCCAACCTTTATTGTATAGACGGCAGTTGAATGGTTGGTTGATTGGTTTGCTGTCTGATTGATTGTTTGATTGACTACCTGCAGATTTTTCGGGAAAATTTGGTTGTAATTCAGATGCATTGGCGTTCTGGCTAACTTGGCCCTGATGCTGTGATAATGATGTAAGATATCTGTTTTTCTTCTTCTACTGTTGTTGATATGACTGCTACTTCTTTTTCTTCTTCGCCTCCTCCATCGTCATCATCTTCTTCTCCTTCCCCTTTTACGCCTTCTTCTCCTTCTTCTTCTTCTATTTCGTCGTCGTCTTTTTCTTCCTCTTCATTTTTCTTTGTTTCCACTGGCTGTAACTCCTGGTTGTTCGTCCACTTCTGGACGTCTAGAGTTTGAACAATGTTGATTTTGAATAATTAACAGTTTAAATAGTGAATTGCTTAAACAATGATGAGTTTGAATCGTTAATAGTTTAAATATTGTGAATTGTTTAAACAATAGTGAGTTTGAATCGTTAATAGTTTAAATAGTAAATTGTTTAAACAATGGTGAGTTTGAATAGTTAATAGTTGAAACAGTGAATTGTTTAAACAATGGCGAGTTTGAATCGTTAATAGTTTAAATAGGGAATTGTTTAAAGAATGGTGAGTTTGAACAGTTATACGTTTGGGCAATGAGTGTAAACAGTAATAAGCGTAAATGATGATAAGTTAGAAAGTGATTACTTTCATTGCAGAGAGACTTTTCTTGGCTTTGGTCCTAATCTGGTCTATATGTCATCTCACTGCCTTTTTTATTAATCCTTCGTTTTGGGTCAAATGTTGAAGCCAGGTATTTCATGGAATCAGATCTCTGCACGTCAGCACCAGGGAGTTTTACCATCGGCATTGGTGTTTTGTACAGCTGATTTTAGTAAGAACCGAAAGACTGTCGCTTTGGGCGGATGAACTGCTGTCCCTGAGATGTCGCTCCATGATTATATACGATCTAATTCCTGCTATAGTTACAAAACGATGTCAGCTCTGTTCCTGCCCTGTAGGTACAGGAGGATGTCATCCGATTATGACAGAGTTATTTGTTCTGCTGTGAACTTGACCTTTAGACGTTGAAGAGGATTGGAAACAACTGAGAACCCTGTGGCAATCAGTGACATGTTTGAACATTGATGAGTTTGAACATTGATGAGTTTGAACACTGATGAGTTTGAACACTGATGAGTTTGAACATTGATGAGTTTGAACATTGATGAGTTTGAACATTGATGAGTTTGAATATTGATGAGTTTGAACGTTGATGAGTTTGAACACTGATGAGTTTGAACATTGATGAGTTTGAACGTTGATGAGCTGAACATTGATGAGCTTGATCAGTTCTCTTGGTTAGAGTCTGAAATATGATGAGTTTTAACTATGATAAGATTTAACAATAATGAGTTTGGACACTGAGGTTGCAGAGTGATGTGTCCTTAGTATAGTAAGAGAAAAAGTCTATGTCTATTTATACACAATCTGAAGAACAAGAGATTCTGATGATTTCACAAACTTTATTGAGTCGCGGATTATTCCCAGGAAGCTCAAACAAGCTTTACTTCTTTCAGCTAAAAAGCCAGTCAGTACATGCGGGTTTACTATCGTATATTGTATAACAATTTAATCAATTTCATTTGGGTAGTAATAAAACTTGGTGATTCCTATCAAAGAACAGTTTAGATTTGCAAATGGTTCTGGAATGGGGCAGCCATATATCTGAAGTTCATCTCTGACGTCACTACACAGGCCGGCATGTTCTGAGCACATGGCTTGTACACACATTCCGAATGTGGAACCTGTGGATTCTCCAAACTCGTCAGAAAGCAGACATTGGGCGGTTTTCTTGTTCACGTAGAGGAACGAGCACATCTTGAGGGCGAAGGCCTTCTCACGAGTTGTGTCGCATACTCTCAGGAACTCTTTACCAGCAACGCTGCAGGGTACAGCTCCAAATCCACTGTAATAAGAGCAGGGTTGAACACGGCAAGGTTATAGTGCTGTATGGTTATGCAGTTTATATATATATATATATATATATATATATATATATATATATATATATATATATTATATATATATATGTGTGTGTGTGTGTGTGTGTGTGTGTGTGTACATATAAACTGCATAACTTTACAGCTTCTTCTTTTGCTTCTTTTGCTTCTTCTTCTTTTGCTTCTTCTTCTTCTTTTGCTTCTTCTTCTTCTTTTTCTTCTTCTTCTTCTTCTTCTTCTTCTTCTTCTTCTTCTTCTTCTTCTTCTTCTTCTTCTTCTTCTTCTTCTTCTTCTTCTTCTTCTTCTTCTTCTTCTTCTTCTTCTTCTTTTGCTTTTTCTTCTTCTTCTTTTGCTTCTTCTTCTTCTTCTTCTTCTTCTTCTTCTCTTCTTCTGCTTCTTCTTCTTCTTCTTCTTCTTCTTCTTCTTCTTCTTCTTCTTCTTCTTCTTCTTCTTCTCTTCTTCTTCTTCTTCTTCTTCTTCTTCTTCTTCTTCTTCTTCCTTGTCTTCTAATTATTATTATTATTACTAGGTCATTAGCCAAATGGCACTAATTCAGCCTATTCGTTGCTATCGTTTGCTGTTCAAACAATGCTCCCACATTCTTATTTCTTATTCACTTCAGTAATTCTCTGTTAACGTGATGGATGCATTTATGTGTGTGGGTATGTTTTTGTCTTTCTTGAGATCTTTGCACCTGGGTGTTCCACTGCAAGGAAAGTCTGGTCCTATTAACATGTTTTCTCATTATTTGTCCGAACTGCTACTAAGCAACATCATTTTAGTATTAGTTATACTCGTCGTACTTCCACTGATTGTCTAGGGTTACGAAAGCTCTTCTTGAGTTTTGTGTCCTTCACTCTCTTTGTCACTATTTCTTCTCATCTCTCTCTCTCTCTTTCTCTCTCTCCCTCTCTCTGTCATTTTATCACTGCGTACAGTTCATCCTGTTAAATATATATATATATAAAAAACATAAAGCCACAACAGCCAAAAAATGCTGGGGTTGGTTCTGCAACGTCCTGTAAAGGATACATGACGAACTTTTTTTAAACAGTTCATTCAGTCACAATTATGTAGACAATATGTTAAATAACTTTCGAGTAACTTCGTTTGTTTTTATTTACATGACACTACGATTGGTACCTTTCCGTCTTTTCAGAAGATAGTGTTATATTGCACTATGAGGAGACATGAGACTCAGCCCATGGCAATGGCGAGTGTGACTAGCAAACCCCCCCCCCCCCCAACCACCCCCCGTGTCAATAAAAGTCTTCAACAATGATGGCATGGGATTTCAGGATCATTGTTGTCAACATTTGTGTTTAATCCGTTTCTCCACAGAGCTAAGCTCTCATCCTTTTTTGCAATCATTTCTTCCTTCACTCGCATTCCCTTCCTGATATGCCCTCTCCACACAACACAGTCCGTGGCATTTTGTTCCCATGAGTCCACCGCAATACCTGTATCATTCATGTCCTGCTTGAACATCTTTATACCGTAAAAGAGGTCGGCCTCGACATCTTCTACCCGTCTTTAATTGACCATAACGGATGTCCTTAGGGGCTGTCATCCTCCATTCTCCAGCTGTGACCCAGCCTCCTGAGCCTTCGCTGACCGAGCATTGAGAAGACTGTTGTAGTACCTGCTCTTTCCAGTACCTCAGTGTTTGTGATTGTGTCCTGTCACTTAATGCCAAGTATTCTTCTTAGGCATCGCATGTGAAATCTTTTAGCCGTCTCTCCTGGTGCAAATAAGTTGACCAAGTTCAACTGCCATAAAGCAGAGTGCTGAGAACACAAGCCTGATTGACAAGAGTTTTTGTTTTAATTGTGAGCTTTCTGTTCTCCCAAACTCTTTTTGTCAATCTGCTCATTGTTGTTGCTGCCTTACCTATTCTGATGTTGATTACTTGGTCCAGCGATATTTTGTTACTCACTGTGGAACCCAAAGAGGTCAAATGGTCTACTGTCTCCAGCTCTTCACCGTCAATGTTGACTGTAGGTTTATCATTGACACCTTGCACCATAACCGTTGTCTTCTTTTTTTGCTGACTGTTTGTCCAAATTAGCAGCATGCATCAGCAAAGGCAGATAGTAAACATTGCAACTCCTCCTCCGAGTGCGTGGTTATTTTGGCATCATCTGCAAACAGCCGCTCTCTGATAAGTACCTTTTTTTATCCTGGTTTTTGCCTTCAGCACGCGAGCATTGTAACGGCTGCCATCAGATCGATAATGGATGAATATACCACCCTCCTGATCTCGAAAGGCATGTGTCAAAAGAAGTGAGAGGTATATTCCAAAGAGGGTAGGAGCAAGTACACACCCCTTTTCACTCCATTTTTGATTACAAACTCCTCCGATGTTACACCCTCAAAGTTAATTGTAAGTTTCAAACCTGTTTGGAACGACTCAATAAAGCTCAGTATGGTAGGTGGACACCCAATCTTCTTCAGTACATTGAACAGACCTTTTCGACTAACCAAATCGAATGCCATAGTAGGATCAATAAACGCAACATACAGTGGTTGATTTGTTCGCGGCATTTTTCCTGCAACTGTCGTAATGAAGATATCATATCAGTGGTAGGCCGTTTCCCACAAATGCCACACTGGGACTCAGGGTAAAGCCGGTCTCCCAGGATGTGGAGTCTTCGTAAAACAATGCTCGCAAGTACCTTTTCAATAGTATACAGCAGTGATATTCTCCTGTAGTTATTGCAGTCACTCCAATCACCCTTGTTCTTGTACATAGTTATGTTGCTTGAGTCTTTGAAGTCTTGGGGAACCTGTCCCTCTTGCCGCAGTGTTATTAGCTGATAAATGAATGGGGTTAGAATGTCTTTCCCACTCCTGATGATCTCAGTAGGAATTCCATCTCTGCCTGGGGCTTTCACAGAAGCCAGTTCATCACTATCATTCCTAACTGCTATAACTGTTGAAAATGTGTCTAGATAGACAAGAGTTGGTAGCGTCTTCATGACATTAAGAGCACTATCTGTTAGTTTAGTATTCGTGTAACCCTAGAATGCGTTTTAATAAACACATGATACTAGATAGGGGACACAACTGTCGGTGTTTACTAGTATAGCATTCCAAGAAAACGCCCTGTTAAATACAAAACTTTAAAACTACGAATACTTAAGAAGAAAACACACACGGCCTACTTACAAATCCTGTCTTGTATTCTGCTTCAGCGCAATGTAGAGCAGGGTTTCCACCTTTGTCAAATTCAGTTTCCGTTTCAGGTTACTAAGGAATGGCCCGGTGACGTGAAAAGGACTAGAACAGAGCGTATTGTTTTCGTTGACAAATATTAGGCCTGGTCTCTGGGGATATATAGAAGTCAAGTTTGTAGGTGTGAACAAGAATTATAGTCACTATAACAACAACCCAAAAATGTAGTAGTAACATTAATTATAGCGATGATAGTGGATTTAGCAATGGTAATAACTTCACACATTGTCGACTTTCAATGAGAAGATTATACATAATGGTTCAGATGAGTGAATAAGGATCAGTAACATTCATTATATATGTAGTAGTAGTAGTAGTAGTAGTAGTAGTAGCAGCAGAAATAGTAGTAGTAGTAGTAAAAGTAGTAGTAGTAGCAGCAACAGGAGCAGCTGCAGAAATAATATTGTTATTAGTAGTAGTAGTAGTACCAGTAGTAGTAGTAGCAGCAGCAGCAGAAGTAATAGTAGCAGTAGAAGCAGCAGCAGCAGCAGTAGTAGTAGTAGTAGCAGCAGCAGTAAAAGAAGTGTTGGTAGTAGTAGAAGCAGTAACAGTTATAGTAACAGTAGCTGCAGAAGCAGCAAAAGCAATAGTATTGAAACTCGCATGTTTACTAGAAGTGAATTAATTTTGTTTTTAAATCACGTAGTTGGGAGGTAGGAAAACAAGCAGAAACATAGAGAGTGGGCATGAAAAGCTGTAAGGTTCTCAGAGACACTGATACCTCGCAATTCGAACCCGACAAAACACGAACTAGTTGGAATCCGAACAAAATTTTGAAGACGTTTTGCCGCCGAATGGAAGGTACGGCAGTCGCCTTTGAAACGGACCGCCTGGCACGTGCCGATCACGCGACTGAGCTGACAATGCAAGAGCTCCAACATCATCAGCGGCTTCAGAAGAAAGAAATAACATAAGAGAGTTCTTCCTGGAAAAAGGAGAAGAGGGAAGCTGGAAGGATTAGCACGACTGAAATCCACAATAGATCTTTTGACCATGTGGTCGAAAACGCAAGAAGGCGCCGCGAAAAGGCCCTAGTTTAAAGTGTGCTAACTTATTCAATGATAAAAAAAAAAATTATTAAAAGGTAACCTCGGGAAATGTGAACCAGCGTCAGTGCACACGGTTATAAACTATAAGTGCTCTGCCACCAGTACAGAGAACTGATAAGAAACTGTCCGCCTGTGTCGCCATCCGCACGTAACTCCGTAGCTACAGCGACGTTCCTCCAGTTACCACCCTCGTTTCTGTCTCCTATGCCGAATGGGTCCTGGCTATTTCCTCTTCTTCTATTCTACCTCCACCAATTTTTGCATTAGAATCCCCCATATGATCTCTTTTAAAAAAATCCTCTTTAACGTCTCTTCTTAAAAAAAAAAAAATTTCAGTAATGACGTTATCAAACTTTTTAGACAAATTAAAGATGATCGCCAACATCAGACAACTTTGAAAAGCTGGCAATCAACAAAAACTAGTGACCCCGAATCCTCTACAAGATATGATAAACTATGATATGAAACAACAGAAAGGAATTCTGATCTGATCCTGGGAGGTAACTCACGAATACTCTCCCTAAAAACCCTTTCCTCCTCCTACTTTTATGTGCCTGCCACAATTTTTGTAACGGTGTCTGTGGCTTAGGCGTTGCATAGGCCACTAATAAATGCCGGGCTGCTGGGTTCTTGCGTTGGTTCTGACTGTGATACCGGGAACATACCATTTTACAGGCAATGGCAAACTGATGATAGTGACTGACTGACTGACTTTCTACCCCACTAGGACATCACACAAGCGATAAACACCCGATGACACAAAGTGCCACCATGTAGATGAGGATCACCGTGGAGAGGTCCCTGAAACCGCGTTCAAACAGTTGGCCATATTTATGGCCTGCCTATATTGCGGTCCCTGGCAAGAGCCAGGGTGGGGCTTCAAATAACGAAAAATTTATTCCTAAAAAGGACGAAGCATAATACTGATGATAGTAAAATTTGCCTTAAAAAACCCACAAAAGCCCCAAATTCTGATGTTGGTTCTGCAACAGTAAACACAATATATATATATATACATATATTTTGGGGGGGGGGGGCAATAATTATTTTTATGTTTGCATTCAAATGTTGGGCACATGGATAACATCTGAAGAATGTTTCACAGAAATAAAGAACAGAATATGACTGGCTAAAACAGCATTTGATAAAATGTAGAATATTTTATTCAATAAATCCATGTCACTAGAGGTTGGGAAAAGAATTCTCGCATGTTCTATGGAGCCAGTTTTAACATATGGCTGTGAATCCTGGACAATTTAAAAAAAGTCAGACTTGAGGCCTCAGATATGTAGTTGTAGAGAAGAATCCTTAGAATTCATTGGAGAGTCAAAAAGAGCAACCCAGAGAGGCATAGGCTCGAAGACTCCTTATCACAAACATCAGACGGAGACAGTCAGCATTTTTGTAGGCCATGTTAAAAGAAGAGGGAAACTGGAACTAACTGTGACCACTGGAAGGATCTATGGAAAGAGATATCGCTGAAGACAATGTCAGAAGATTCTCGAAACGTTTTGTCACGGCATGGAAGGGTGTCAACACACAAACTGTGATACACTCAGTTGCAGAGCGCAGATTGTAGACAGACATGATGTGGACATGGTTCGGCATGTTGATTACGTATATTAATTAGAATCAGCAGGTGGAAGAAGAGAGTGACAAGTAGCATCAGCAGATGGGAGAGAGGAGAGTGGCAAGTAGCATCAGCAGATGGGAGAGAGGAGAGTGGCAAGTAGAATCAGCAGATGGGAGAGAAGAGTGGCAAGTAGAATCAGCAGATGGGAGAGAAGAGTGGCAAGTAGCATCAGCAGATGGGAGAGAGGAGAGTGGCAAGTAGCATCAGCAGATGGGAGAGAGGAGAGTGGCAAGTAGCATCAGCAGATGGGAGAGAGGAGAGTGGCAAGTAGCATCAGCAGATGGGAGAGAGGAGAGTGGCAAGTAGCATCAGCAGATGGGAGAGAGGAGAGTGGCAAGTAGCATCAGCAGATGGGAGAGAGGAGAGTGGCAAGTAGCATCAGCAGATGGGAGAGAGGAGAGTGGCAAGTAGCATCAGCAGATGGGAGAGAGGAGAGTGGCAAGTAGCATCAGCAGATGGGAGAGAGGAGAGTGGCAAGTAGAATCAGCAGATGGGAGAGAGGAGAGTGGCAAGTAGAATCAGCAGATGGGAGAGAGGAGAGTGGCAAGTAGCATCAGCAGATGGGAGAGAGGAGAGTGGCAAGTAGCATCAGGAGATGGGAGAGAAGAGTGGCAAGTAGAATCAGCGGATGAGAGAGGAGAGTGGCAAGTAGAATCAACGGATGAGAGAGGAGAGTGGCAAGTAGAATCAACGGATGAGAGAGGAGAGTGGCAAGTAGAATCAGCAGATGGGAGAGAGGAGAGTGTCAAGTAGAATCAGCTGATGGGAGAGAAGAGTTGCAAGTAGAATCAACGGATGGGAGAGGAGAGTGGCAAGTAGAATCAACGGATGAGAGAGGAGAGTGGCAAGTAGAATCAACGGATGAGAGAGGAGAGTGGCAAGTAGAATCAGCAGATGGGAGAGAGGAGAGTGGCAAGTAGAATCAGCAGATGGGAGAGAGGAGAGTGGCAAGTAGAATCAGCAGGTGGGAGAAAAGAGAATGACAAGTGGATTCAGCAGATGGGAGAGGAGAGTGGCAAGTAGAATCAGCAGATGGGAGAGAGGAGAGTGGCAAGTAGAATCAGCAGATGGGAGAGAGGAGAGTGGCAAGTAGAATCAACGGATGGGAGAGGAGAGTGGCAAGTAGAATCAGCGGATGGGAGAGAGAAGAGTGGCAAGTAGAATCAGCAGATGGGAGAGGAGAGTGGCAAGTAGAATCAACGGATGAGAGAGGAGAGTGGCAAGTAGAATCAACGGATGAGAGAGGAGAGTGGCAAGTAGAATCAGCAGATGGGAGAGAGGAAAGTGGCAAGTAGAATCAGCAGATGGGAGAGAAGAGTGGCAAGTAGAATCAACGGATGGGAGAGGAGAGTGGCAAGTAGAATCAACGGATGAGAGAGGAGAGTGGCAAGTAGAATCAACGGATGAGAGAGGAGAGTGGCAAGTAGAATCAGCAGATGGGAGAGAGGAGGGTGGCAAGTAGAATCAGCAGATGGGAGAGAGGAGAGTGGCAAGTAGAATCAGCAGGTGGGAGAAAAGAGAATGACAAGTGGATTCAGCAGATGGGAGAGAAGAGTGGCAAGTAGAATCAGCAGATGGGAGAGAGGAGAGTGGCAAGTAGAATCAACGGATGGGAGAGGAGAGTGGCAAGTAGAATCAGCGGATGGGAGAGAGAAGAGTGGCAAGTAGAATCAGCAGATGGGAGAGGAGAGTGGCAAGTAGAATCAGCGGATGGGAGAGGAGAGTGGCAAGTAGAATCAGCGGATGGGAGAGAAGAGTGGCAAGTAGAATCAGCAGATGGGAGAGGAGAGTGGCAAGTAGCATCAGCAGATGGAAGAGGATAGTGGCAAGTAGAATTAGCAGATGGGAGAGAAGAGAGGGACAAGCATAATTAGCAGATGGGAAGGAAGAGAGTGACAAGTAGAATTAGCACGTGGGAAGGAAGAGAGTGACAAGTAGAACTAGCAGATGAGATAGAAGAGAGCGACAAGTAGAATCAGCAGATGGGAGAGAAGAAAGCGTCAAGTAGAATGAGCTGATGAGAGAGGAGAGTGGCAAGTAGAATCAGCGTTTGGGAGAGAAGAGAGCAACAAGTAGAATCAGCAGTTGGGAGAGAAGAGAGCGACAAGTAGAATCAGCGGATGGGAGAGAAGAGAGCGACAAGTAGAATCAGCAGATGAGAGAGGAGAGTAGCAAGTAGAATCAGCGTTTGGGAGAGAAGAGAGCAACAAGTAGAATCAGCGGTTGGGAGAGAAGAGAGCGACAATTAGAATTAGCATATGGGAGAAAAGAGAGTGACAAGTAGAATTAGCAGATGGGAGAGAAGAGAGCGACAAGTAGAATTAGCAGATGGGAGAGAAGAGAGTGACAAGTAGAATTAGCAGATGGGAGAGAAGAGAGTGACAAGAAGAATTAGCAGATGGGAGAGAAGAGAGCGACAAGAAGAATTAGCAGATGGGAGAGAAGAGAGTGACAAGAAGAATTAGCAGATGGGAGAGAAGAGAGTGACAAGTAGAATTAGCGAATGGGAGAGAAGAGAGTGACAAGTAGAATCAGCAGATGGGAGAGAAGAGTGGCAAGTAGAATCAGCAGATGGGAGAGAGGAGAGTGGCAAGTAGCATCAGCAGATGGGAGAGAAGAGAGTGACAAGTAGAATTAGCGGATGGGAGAGAAGAGAGTGACAAGTAGAATCAGCAGATGGGAGAGGAGAGTGACAAGAAGAATCAGCAGATGGGAGAGGAGAGTGACAAGAAGAATTAGCAGATGGGAGAGAAGAGAGTGACAAGTAGAATTAGCGGATGGGAGAAGAGAGTGACAAGTAGAATCAGCAGATGGGAGAGGAGAGTGACAAGAAGAATCAGCAGATGGGAGAGGAGAGTGACAAGTAGAATTAGCGGATGGGAGAGGAAAGTAGCGAGTAGAATCAGTGAGATGAAAGAGAGAAATGACAAGTTGAATTAGCAGAGGAGAGAGAACAGTGCTAATTAGAAACAGAGAAATGAAATCAGAGCGAGAGAGACTAGATGACAGAAAGAGGCAAGAGAAGAGACAGATCTTTCAAGCGGAAAGATGAGAAGATAGAGAAAATCAACAACAACAAAAAGAAAGAACAAAGAGAAGACTTACTGATAGGAGAAGGTAAGAAATTGGAGAGTCAGCGGATAAGAAAAAATGTGGGAAAGGAGGAAAGAAAGGAGGAGAGAAACGACAAACGAGAGAGGGAGATAGAGATAGAGAGAGAGAGAGAGAGAGAGAGAGAGAGATAGAGAGAGAGAGAGAGAGAGAGAGAGAGAGAGAGAGAGAGAGAGATTACTATAGAATTCATTACATTTTTCACACTAACTACAATGCCAGGAAGCTGGTGAGATCGGCGAACAAAGGCCCGGAACCGCAGCTGAAATCCGCACTCTTCAGCATCCACTTTACCAAAGTTGTGCTCTTCGTCAAACGTGCTGTTGATACGTGTGTCTAAGAAACTGAGCACTGATGGCGCTCCCCAGGGAGTAAGGGTCTCTGTGTTATCCTTCCCCTGAACCAGGTACTGTGTGATATGAAACAGAGAGAAATGTCAGTATTAGATAATCGCAATGTATAACAGAAATAAGGGGGGAAAATAAATCATCGAAACTTCATGGCTAGAAACATTCAGCGATCATGATTGTTTGGGAATGTGAGAAACAAAAAAACAAAAAAAAAAGAAAACTAAAATGAGTGGCTCACTTGGTGTATTTAGCTGCATTGGCGGTTGTTGAACTTGAGATACAGGTCTGTTGAGCTAGTCTAAGTGTTGCTCTGACACGTTGACCTACTACTCTCCTCTATACAGGTCTGTTGAGCTAGTCTAAGTGTTGCTCTGACACGTTGACCTACTACTCTCCTCTATACAGGTCTGTTGAGCTAGCTGAGTGTTGCTCTGACACGTTGACCTACTACTCTCCTCTATACAGGTCTGTTGAGCTAGCTGAGTGTTGCTCTGACACGTTGACCTACTACTCTCCTCTATACAGGTCTGTTGAGCTAGCTGAGTCTTGCTCTGACACGCTGACCTACTACTCTCTTCTATACAGGTCTGTTGAGCTAGCTGAGTCTTGCTCTGACACGTTGACCTACTACTCTCCTCTATACAGGTCTGTTGAGCTAGTCTGAGTGTTGCTCTGTTACGTTGACCTACTACTCTCCTCTATACAGGTCTGTTAAGCTAGTCTGAGTGTTGCTCTGACACGTTGACCTACTAGTCTCCTTTATACAGGTCTGTTAAGCTAGCTGAGTGTTGCTCTGTCACGTTGACCTACTACTCTCCTCTATACAGGTCTGTTGAGCTAGTCTAAGTGTTGCTCTGACACGTTGACCTACTACTCTCTTCTATACAGGTCTGTTGAGCTAGCTGAGTGTTGCTGACACGTTGACCTACTACTCTCCTTTATACAGGTCTGTTAAGCTAGTCTGAGGTTGCTCTGACACGTTGACCTACTACTCTCCTCTATACAGGTCTGTTGAGCTAGTCTGAGTGTTGCTCTGACACGTTGACCTACTACTCTCCTCTATACAGGTCTGTTGAGCTAGTCTGAGTGTTGCTCTGTCACGTTGACCTACTACTCTCCTCTATACAGGTCTGTTGAGCTAGTCTAAGTGTTGCTCTGACACGTTGACCTACTACTCTCCTCTATACAGGTCTGTTGAGCTAGTCTAAGTGTTGCTCTGTCACGTTGACCTACTACTCTCCTCTATACAGGTCTGTTGAGCTAGTCTGAGTGTTGCTCTGTCACGTTAACCTACTACTCTCCTCTATACAGGTCTGTTGAGCTAGTCTAATTGTTGCTCTGACAGGTTGACCTACTACTCTCCTCTACACAGGTCTGTTGAGCTAGTCTGAGTGTTGCTCTGTCACGTTGACCTACTACTCTCCTCTATACAGGTCTGTTAAGCTAGTCTGAGTGTTGCTCTGACACGTTGACCTACTACTCTCCTCTATACAGGTCTGTTGAGCTAGTCTGAGTGTTGCTCTGACACGTTGACCTACTACTCTCCTCTATACAGGTCTGTTGAGCTAGTCTAAGTGTTGCACTGTCACGTTGACCTACTACTCTCCTCTATACAGGTCTGTTGAGCTAGCTGAGTGTTGCTCTGACACGTTGACCTACTACTCTCCTCTATACAGGTCTGTTGAGCTAGTCTGAGTGTTGCTCTGACACGTTGACCTACTACTCTCCTCTATACAGGTCTGTTGAGCTAGCTGAGTCTTGCTCTGACACGCTGACCTACTACTCTCTTCTATACAGGTCTGTTGAGCTAGCTGAGTCTTGCTCTGACACGTTGACCTACTACTCTCCTCTATACAGGTCTGTTGAGCTAGTCTGAGTGTTGCTCTGTTACGTTGACCTACTACTCTCCTCTATACAGGTCTGTTAAGCTAGTCTGAGTGTTGCTCTGACACGTTGACCTACTACTCTCCTCTATACAGGTCTGTTAAGCTAGCTGAGTGTTGCTCTGTCACGTTGACCTACTACTCTCCTCTATACAGGTCTGTTGAGCTAGTCTAAGTGTTGCTCTGACACGTTGACCTACTACTCTCTTCTATACAGGTCTGTTGAGCTAGCTGAGTGTTGCTCTGACACGTTGACCTACTACTCTCCTTTATACAGGTCTGTTAAGCTAGTCTGAGGTTGCTCTGACACGTTGACCTACTACTCTCCCCTATACAGGTCTGTTGAGCTAGTCTGAGTGTTGCTCTGACACGTTGACCTACTACTCTCCTCTATACAGGTCTGTTGAGCTAGTCTGAGTGTTGCTCTGTCACGTTGACCTACTACTCTCCTCTATACAGGTCTGTTGAGCTAGTCTAAGTGTTGCTCTGACACGTTGACCTACTACTCTCCTCTATACAGGTCTGTTGAGCTAGTCTAAGTGTTGCTCTGTCACGTTGACCTACTACTCTCCTCTATACAGGTCTGTTGAGCTAGTCTGAGTGTTGCTCTGTCACGTTGACCTACTACTCTCCTCTATACAGGTCTGTTGAGCTAGTGTAAGTGTTGCTCTGACACGTTGACCTACTACTCTCCTCTACACAGGTCTGTTGAGCTAGTCTGAGTGTTGCTCTGTCACGTTGACCTACTACTCTCCTCTATACAGGTCTGTTGAGCTAGTCTAAGTGTTGCTCTGACACGTTGACCTACTACTCTCCTCTATACAGGTCTGTTGAGCTAGTCTGAGTGTTGCTCTGACACGTTGACCTACTACTCTCCTCTATACAGGTCTGTTGAACTAGTCTGAGTGTTGCTCGGATACTTTGACCACTATTCTCCTCGCCTAATTATGTCAAGCCTGCAAACATGTCTAATTGTGTTTTCAGCTTGCGCCATTAAAGACCTTCCTCTTTTTAGCAGGTGACCCTTAGCTCTGTCTAGGTTCCATGCAAGGGATGTTTTTGTGTGTTTGTTTTGTCTGCTGCTCCTCTGAGATATTACTTTGCTTGCAGCACTTCAAGCCTATCTGTTATAACTGGCTGCGCAAGTATATATCGGATACACACTTCTGTGGTATATCTTAAACATCCCCAAAATTACCCTCATGGCTTTACTCTGTATGAGTTTAATTTTACCAGCAGATACTTTGTCTTTTGTGCCTCTCGGGTCACCCTTCACGGTCGAATGGTTTTCCTGGTCAAGGAACTTACAACCTGAGCGAGCCTCTTTCACCCGATAGGTACAAGTTCTCCTAGGGCTTGACGGAAAAAGAATAGATGGAAGACAGATAGCTTTTTTGATACCAAGATCGTCGCAGCGTCCCTGGCTTAGGCGTTGCGAGTCCGACTCGTAATTCCAACGTATCGTTATCGAAATCCACTGCTGGCTATGTGGATTTTTGGTATGGGACGTCGCAGGTCGACCTAACCTAAAATGAGTACCAGGATGGCTGTCCTGGGGAGATGAAGACGGCTGGCGTTATGCTGACCACATTACCCACATAGTGCCGATTGATCTGTGAAAATATGGGATGCTCTTCCCATATGCCCAATGCGCATAAGGCGTAAAAAGAGATCTTTACTTAACTTGCTTATACCAAGATCGTCACATTCTGAAAAAAGTGGAGCAGCGGGAAGTGACCTGAAATTCTGACCAATACTCAACATTCCGATAAAAGGTCAAACTAATATGCAGTCTGAGTGCTACTGGTACCATAGAAACTGGAATGCTGCGCTGGCTGCTAAAGATAGGATGGTTTGCTTATGGAAACGCCTTGAACTCTATGCTGTTGGTTCTTCACCCAGCTCAACATACCTCGTCGTCAATTATGTATGACGTCATTTCACGGTAAACTTACTCTCCATTCGCCATTAATCTCCACTCCAAACTTCCTGAGACTGAGCCTGCCCACTGCCTCAGGTCGATCGTTGTCCGTGATCTTGATGAGACAGTCGAAGCCCATGACGTAGTAGCCGCCTTGGGTGAAGTAGTTGAGTCCAAACACCTGTAGGGGGAAATACCATAATACATGGTTATATAATCATTCTTATAATTATCACCATTCTACTACTACCACCACCACCACCACCACATCTTCTACTATTACTGCTATTACTTCTTCTTCTTCTTCTTCTTCTTCTTCTTCTTCTTCTTCTTCTTCTTCTTCTTCTTCTTCTTCTTCTTCTTCTTCTTCTTCTTCTTCTTCTTCTTCTTCTTCTTCTTCTTCTTCTTCTTTTTCTTCTTCTTCTACTACTTCTTCCTAAGCCGATTCCAGAACCGACATTCCTATAAGCGCTCTGTCCCGATCTTCAACAGAGTTATAAAACCAGTGGCGCCAGTAGCGTCCTGATTATATGTCCGTCTTGCCTCTCCACGAGCGTCGAGTATCGCCCAGATCCCCTCGTCATTCCTCGCTGCATCACTCACAGCAGACTGGTGACCCATTTCCACCTCCGAAGTGTACACGTTCTCCCGTAAAGCCTTTACCACGTCTGCCTTATCAAGCCATAGCATTCTACTTTGTGCAGCGATAACCAGTCTCTCCGTCTGTTTATTTCCCACTACACCGGCATGACCCGGAAAACAGTTCTAGACAGTGCCCCTTCACCCGTGACCTCTGAAGCGAAGCATGCCACTATGCCGGTCCCCAACTAATATATTTATGAGTTTGTCAGTGTGTTTAGTGTATAAATGTGTGTATATTAATGTATACATGTGTATTTATACAAATATATGTGTATGTAGTGTGTGTATGTAGTGTGTGTATGTGTGTGTGTGTGTGTGTGTGTGTTTAACGTATGTGGGTTTGATGAGTGCGTACATATGTATTTGTGTAAGCATGTACGTGTCTATGTATGTTTGTATGCCTGTAAATATTTTACTTGATATTCATATTTTAAAAATGATATATGAGCATAACATGCCATAAAAATTTAAAAAAAAATATTGCAGTGTGAAAGATGAATGTTTGGAAGGTCCGAAGACAGGCAGGTTTGCGACTTCTTCTTCTTTGCGATCACCGGCTATAAACTCCGGTAACAAGTTCTGGTTATTCGTCTCTTTCTGGACTATATCTTGCTCTAGAACCTACATTTTGAAAGCACATCTGTTTTACAGAACTGACTTATCTGAATGCAGACTGTTAGTTCCTTGCATCTCATGCATTCTGACTTCTAAAGTAATCTCTAATTATCTGACTCTTACGACAGGATGCAGTCGGCAGTTGGTCTGTTCTTGTTTCCACCACAACAGAACCCCAGAATCCACACGGGGAATTCGTGACTTTAAAAAATAAAGCTTATTTGTTCGACATACTGATTGTCCCCATAAGAAGCTCATTCATTCGACATACTGATTGTCCCCATAAGAAGCTCATTCATTCGACATACTGATTGTCCCCATAAGAAGCTCATTCATTCGACATACTGATTGTCCCCATAAGAAGCTCATTCGTTCGACATACTGATTGTCCCGATAAAAAGCTCATTCGTTCGACATACTGATTGTTCCCATAAGAAGCTCATTCATTCGACATACTGATCGTCCCCATAAGAAGCTCATTCGTTCGACATACTGATTGTTCAGATAAAAAGCGAATAAAAAAATAAAAAAAACAGTAAACGGCAGATTTAAAAAGAAAAACAAAGTAAAATGACCTGAATCTCGCACGTGCCACCAGACGAGGCCATGTAGTGAGGGGTGATGACATGTGTGAGTTTGAACCTGCAGGGAAACGGAAGATGGGCACGCTCACCGTCATATGTTGTCATCACCGGGTCTCCTACTACCTGCGCTATAAATGCTGAAAGCGAAGAATAGTATTACAATGAACGAAATTTGTACACAAAATTAGCCATTTTGTTATCTTGGGGTTCCTCGTGTAGAAGGGGGAGTGTCTGGGGCCTTTTTTAAGGGGTGTGGAGTGGAAAAGCGGGGGGGGGGGGGGGTATCCCTGACCATTTTTCTAAGTATGAACTTCTTGGACTGGTCTATTTAGAAGTATTTTAAAATATTTAGCTCATATGTCCATCTGGTTTGTAGTGTTGATAAGTTTTTAAAGGGGTAGAAAATTATAGGAAAGAGAAAAAGTGGGTAAGAAAGAACAAATTGTTTATGTTAGCTTTACAAAATCGATCACAAAAAACAAAGGACGTTGTGGCGATTAGCCTTCATCAGCACATAAAGAACAACACAGTACATGTACACAAATATGTTCTTACTATGAAGTGACTACGTAGGACTCTATTGTTCAAAATAAATGATACTCATCTGTGTCCCTGGCGAAAAACTTCGTTTAAGAGGATGAATAGGACAGGTACTAGCCTTTATATCACCAACGCGCGGACGGGAGGCGAAAAACGGGGTCAGTGTACCTGGGAAATGGGCGGAGCAGACGCCAACAGACACAGCAGCGTACACTGAGTGTCTAAAGAGGGAGGGAGGGGTTGGCCAATATGGCTTAACCAGGGTTGGGTCCTGGGGATGACTTCTAGTGTTGATAAGTACCGTTCCTTGACATTTTTGATTGATCCAGTAGGCTGACTAAATGACCTTAATTACCTTCTAATTTCATTGTGTTACTGCAAAGGTCAATGAGTTTTTTTTTTTTTGCTGCTGCTGTCTCCATTTCTTATGCTAGAGCGTCTAAATATTTCCTTGTTTTGTGTGTGTGTGTGTGTGTGTGTGTGTGTGTGTGTGTGTGTGTGTGTGTGTGTGTGTGTGTGTGTGTGTGTGTGTGTGTGTGTGTGTGTGTGTGTGTGTGTGTCTTCCCTTATTCGCCTCCTAACTTCTTTATTAGCTTCTGTGTATTTTTTTATGAGTTCTAGCTGTTACAGCTCTAATTGCCCAAGCCTCTAGGATCTAGGTGCTTACGACTCCATGTTGTGAATGTAAGAAGTTACCAACATTACCTTGGAAATAAGTTAGGAAGTTACAACACAGATATACAATGGTTTATTATACAGGTAAAAAGGACCGAAGACAGGCCTGTTTGCGACTTCTTTTTCTTTGCGATTACCAGCTGTAAACTCGGGCTGAAAGTTCTGGTTATTCGTCCGTTTCTGAACTATATGTTGTTCTAGAACCTGCATTTTTCAAGCAAATCCGTTTTACAGAACTGACTTATCTGAATGCAGAATATTAGTTCCTTGCATCTAATGCCGATGCATTCTGACTTCCAAGGTAACCCCTAACGAGGCCGTTCTCTCAGAAACAGATAGGGCTGCTCTCACACAAACAAATAAAAACCAATGAGACAAACAGTCAGAATTTGTCAACATTTTATGAGAAGAAAGAAACTGGAAACTTACTCCAAACTTGTTGATCTGATGGTGGGAGAGAGCAAGGGGGAGACACAAAGATAAACGCTTAAATAGACTGGCCACGGAGTGGGGCCAGCACGGACAAGATGAGATACTGATGATCCTCTGACCTACTGACCTAGGCTTACTATTATGGCATATCCCCGTCTGGGTTCTAGGCCCAGTATTGGAAGACGAAAAAAGAACGGACACAGTGATCCATAAAAAGTTTGTTATAAAAGGCGACTACTTAAGGGTGTTTTCTTTCAAGTTTGAGTGCACCTACATGAGGGGCGAGGAACCAACAGTATGCACACACATATCCTAGATCTGTAGAACGGATGTGAACGGAAAACTCAAATTCTGGAACAAGACCAAAGTTCAGAAATGGATGAACAACCAGAACTTTCCTCTGGCTTTTGCATCCAGTGGAAGTTATAATAATAAGAAGAAGATGTGACACATGACGATGACGATGGTGTCGATAAGGATGAAAACGATGATGATACAACATGTGGCTAGCTAGTATACTTACAGTCGTTACTGAAACATCCAATTCGGCCGTCTCCTTTCAGGCCAGGTGGACAGACGCATGTGTCGTTGACACAAGTGGCTGGATGGACACATATGTACCTCTTGCACATAGGACCAGATGCTGTACCAGAAATGTCACAAATATATAACGTGCGAATGTATAGGTATGAACGCAGACTGGTATGTAGCTGGGTAGAAAGTAGGTAGAAAACGAGAGGAGCTTTTAGGATAGGAGAGGGGTACACGGTCAGACCGATTGAATTAATTATTTAGTTAATGAATTAATCCAGTGTGTCCCAAACTTTTCTTAGTTGCGGTGCCTTTTTTTCAATAAAAAATGGTCAACGGCGCCATAAACTAAGTAAAATTATGACTATTCGTATGTAAGAGATAAAAAAAAACTTGTGTATCTTCGAATATTTCGCGGCGCCCCTGTGAAGAGGTCACGGCTCCCGGGGCGCCGCGGGGAATCACTGATTTAATCAATAACTGGCATTCCTGCACTTAAGGCATTCCCACAGGTGCCCCGTCTCTATCTTAGGTAGCCGACGAAGAATCGAAATGGTGACAGTACCAGTCGCAACCTGATTAAAAGTCAGTCAATGTTTCAACCTCAGTGTTGAAAGTCTTCTAGAATCATTACTTATCTCCTGTTGAATTAGTCTTTCGGTGTGTGGATTCTTTCAGTGTGTGGATTCTTTCAGGTGTGTGGATTCTTTCAGTGTGTGGATTCTTTCAGTGTGTGGATTCTTTCAGTGTGTGGATTCTTTCAGGTGAATTCTTTCAGTGTGTGGATTCTTTCAGTGTGTGGATTCTTTCAGGTGAATTCTTTCAGTGTGTGGATTCTTTTAGGTGGATTCTTTCAGAGTGTGGATTCTTTCAGAGTGTGGATTCTTTCAGAGTGTGAATTCTTTCAGTGTGGTGGATTCTTTCAGTGTGGTCTTTCAGTGTGGTGGATTCTTTCAGTGTGGTGGATTCTTTCAGTGTGGTGGATTCTTTCAGTGTGTGGATTCTTTCAGAGTGTGGATTCTTTCAGTGTGTGGATTCTTTCAGTGTGTGGATTCTTTCAGGTGAATTCTTTCAGTGTGTGGATTCTTTTAGG